TGAAATTGTTAAATCCGATCACGGCAATTGTAAGAGGACATTTCTTTGGCGGTGTAAAAGTCAGTGCCATAAATTTTCACATGATGTTATTGCAGACAGTTACTAAGAAGGTTATTTTTGAAACATAGACGCTAAATGTATAATACAAATGGGCCCAACAATAAATTGTTTGTTTGCACCGACATCATATGATAATTATATGATACAATTATGGTTCGGAGTCGGGTGAGGGTTATTGATATTGTCACATAATATGTATGGGTCATTTTTTAGGTTGAAAGACAACGCATACGTAAAAGCAGATGGCTGTAAAGAAGCAGGTTTGAATATTCCATGCCAATTTCACCTATATAATCAGCGTATAATGATGTGTTAAAACTTAAGGAAAGCATTTGCAGATCTGTTGATTATCATTTCTAAACATTGAGATGACTAGGTGTTTTGACCATAAAGTAGTTTCAGTTACTCAGCCTTTCTGAATTGCTGTGTTTTCTTCTTTCTTCAACTCTTTTTTTTCTCTTGGTCATTCATTTGCATTTAAAAAGTTGCAGAAGAAGTCAACGGAAAATATAAATGCACGACTTGCTATGGTAATGAAGAGTGGGAAGTATTGCTTAGGATATAAACAGACACTGAAAACATTGCGGGCTGGTAAGGCCAAATTGGTTATTATTGCCAACAATACGCCACCTCTAAGGTTTGTGATGCATATATTTAAATTTAACTTAATTGTAGGAGCTTTTGCCGTGATGATTCCAGCACAGTGCGGAACAAAATTGCTTTCATAAGTGATCAGGAATCCAAGTCCTTGTGATCTAACTATTCTTAGATAACAATATCCCTTCCTGAATTAATATGTGTAATGATATAAGTAACTAAATAAGCAATTAAATTGGAATGTTTACTCTATGAAACGCTGTGAATGCAAGCCTCTCGATATTATTTTTAAGTTGAGTGATTTCAGTTTCGTGATCTTACATCTGTATCATTTGATGAGCATTAGTTCAACATGCTTCTTCTCTCGATTTTTATTTTAACTATGAAATATTCAGATTGATTCTTTTTGGGGAATCAAATACGTATAGTGTAACCAAGAAGCATTACATAGTGAATGTATATGATAATAGCAACGCTGTATTTGAATCATAATGAACAAGTAAAATTGTTGATTTCAGGAAAAGTGAAATTGAATATTATGCGATGCTGGCCAAGACAGGCGTTCATCATTACAACGGTAACAATATTGAATTAGGTGCAGCATGCGGAAGATTGTTTCGTGTTTGCACATTATCGATTACAGATGCTGGAGATTCAGACATTATTCGAAGCATGCCATCTGAAAGTACATAAATTTCACTGTTTCTTTTTTGATGTCGTTTGAAAAATCGTAAATAAATTTTCTTTGTTGTTTTTTGGTGTTGTGAACAAAACGATTAAATAGTTAATACTTTCTACATCGAAATGTGGAAATCTTTTGTCAAGGTAGTGATGAAGAAGGTAATGATTTTAGTAGGAGATTTATCTTCTTGCTATTATCAGTCATTATGTTTTTATCTCAAGATCTTGATTTTGCTCATTATAATTATTTTGAATTGAAATTGAGAAGAAATGAGGATAATAGGATTAAATTTCCCTGATTTCATGTTTTTATCATATATTGTCATGTGAACGGAGTGAATGATTGCAGTGATGCAAAATTGGTTCTGATTAGAATTTACTAGGTAGATAGTTGGAAGAGTTAATTTACTCTTCATTCATTGGTTTCATGCCATTATGTATGTCTTCATTCATCGCCTAAAGATATGTCGAAGATGAAACAACAAATTAGAGTTAATTTATCCTCCTTCTCTTTCCCTTCACAGACGAAATGATATATGACAGATGATCAAAAATGTATCAGTTGTATATTGCAGCTAACTGTTATATAAATCATGTACAGGGAATGAAATATAAATTGTTTAAACATTTGAACCAACTATTATATCAAAATATAGTCACCAAGAATTTGAGTTCATTTTGATGCGAGTCTATCTTAACATTTCGGGAATATGGCGTTTCGTAATGGGCGGGAGGTCGTAACTGATGTTACGATTTTCATGATATTCACTGTAATGTGGGCGTTCTCTGATCAATGATCCCTAAATTTTCATGTACTATAGTACTGTCAAGGCAGCACTGATTCATTCGTTAACGCCATATCTTTCCATTTTGTAAAAGAAATTTTCATTATTTGAATTTATCGTTATTTGGGTTATTCTCTAGAATATCACTTCAATGGTGTTTCTCGAAGACCAGAAATTATTAGTCTCAAGACATATGTGATTCCTCATCATCACAATCTGCGGATCGTTTCCGGAGTGGTTTTGAGGTTTTTTGAAATTCAAAACTTTTTTGCTTTTGAAATAGCTTTACATATTGCAATATTAATACCTTTACTGGCAATACAAATACGGATCACTTAATAAAGGATCAAAGCACCGATTTTGGTATCGCAATTTTAAATATATTGAAACAATCATGTAATGTAAAAATGGTTAAAATTTGTACTTGCTTATTACTGCCTAGTGATGACAGCAAGATGGAAGTATATTATTTTGCGTTTGTTTGTAATTGAATGTTTCATTACTTCAGGTACAAGGCAATACTTATAGCCGTCAGAAGGTGTAGAAGCGAAGATGAGTATAGTAAATGGTTTTGAGCGTCTTACTACTACAACAAAAGTTCCATTTATTATTGGTGTCGCTGGTGGGACAGCTTCCGGAAAGGTTACTTTATATTCAGTTACTTGAGATATGGGATTGTATCCATCATAATTGTCATTTTTTGTTGGATTATTGGATCTCCCGTCATTATCATGTAACGTTTTACTTTCTATTTTCTTCCTAAACGTAATATGACAAAAGTTATACCTCGCAGCAATATGGAAACCGTATCGTGAGGTTCAGTTTAGTAAAAATAAAGTTTTGAAAGAAAGAGTAGCACTCATCAAATAGCAGTGAATCCGACAATTGAAGTAGATGGGTTTCCCATCATTATTAACTGTTTTATCGCTTCTCCAATTTGCATATCTTTAATTTGGAAATAGTTATAATTTGTATTGTCTAGTCGTCAGTATGTTCTCGAATAATGGAGAAGCTTGGAAAGGCGCATGAACGACGAGTGGTGACAATATCACAAGATTCGTTTTACCGTAACTTGACAGCTGAAGAAACCAAAAAAGCGAACCGAGGAGAATTCAATTTCGATCATCCAGGTTTTGTCTCTCTGTCTGTTTTTTTTTTTGCAAATGAACTGTCATTTTCAGCAATTTCGTTATCGAAACATAGGGTTTCTATTTTCTTTTTAGTGCATGATATTTTTAATTTTCGAAGGAGTGCTTTTTAGATGCTATTGAGTATGCTCTGATGATATCGGTTCTTCACAAAATGAGAAGAGGTGAAAGTGTTATCATTCCAAAATATGATTTTTACACTAATTCAAGGTTAAGCTTTCACATTTAACATTTTCTGTTAATTTTTTATAGTTTGTAATGTTTTATTTTGTAGAAAAAGATGTGTTTAAACTGATATATGATATTAGTATAGAAATGATTTTCCCAAACTTTTATAATATTTAAAACTTTTATTGGACATTGATGGACATTTATTTAACAGGCAGGCATATAATTTTATTTGATAGGCATATAACAATATTTTTAGAAGAACTTTTCTCAGTTTTCATTTTCATTGGCGTCGACATTTTTAGAAGCTTTACAGATCGAAAGATTCTGATGTGATTGAATCAGCGGATGTTATAATTGTTGAGGGCATACTGATTTTGTATGATCAAGAATTACGAAATCTTTTTGATATGAAACTGTTTGTGGATGCTGACTCTGATGACCGTCTAGCTCGACGTGTCCATAGAGATACTGAAGAGAGAGGGCGCTCACTGTCCCAAGTAAATGACTCAAAAAATTCTTACTTGCATTTGCTTTTTACTGTTATGTATGCTATGAAAGCGAAGTGTTTTATATCTTTTTACTGTTATGTATGCTATGAAAGCGAAGTATGCGAAGTTAATAAAAATTTATAATGTAGTTAGACCTAATTTTTTAACTATCTACTTTTAGGTCCTTCATCAGTACCTAAATCTTGTAAAGCCAGCATTTGAAGAATTTTGTTTGCCGACGAAAAAGTATGCTGACGTTATTATTCCACGTGGTGCTGATAACACTGTTGCTATCGATTTAATTTTGCATCACATTCATGAAATATTACGTTTACCATCGTCCTCCAGTAAGTCAACCACAGATGGAAATTGTGGTATCGTTCATCGGGCTTCGTCTTTTAGTCGACTGCATTGATTCAGGGAGTCCTCCATAGCCCTGTTTAAAAATGTTAGAGCAAATACTGTTTTGTATTATTGTTTTCCATCGCGTTACACTAACCAAATTTGTTTTTACATGAAAGTACAGTTGAAACACTTCTTTCTGTTATGAGCATTCTCCTTAAATTCCTTAGATTCTGTTATTTCCTCTAGATTTCACTTTTTTTTTTAAAAAAAATATTCCATTTTTTTTAAGTTATTGCATTTTTTTTTATTTAAGAAAAAGGCTTTTTGTTTTCTGACTTGAAGTAGTTATTTTTTTTTTTATGCTACGCTATTCGTAATGGCATTACTTTGGAAACGAAATAGTAGAAATTTATGGAAATCTTGACCATAGATTTATCAGTTGATTATATTGTTCAATGGTTTTTCTAATTGCTGTGTTCTATTGTCATGTAAATTGCAGTATCAGTTTTGATAAAAGCCTTTTTATAAAACTTGATGAGCATAGTATTGTTGTTACAGTCAGGTATGTTGTCGTCATAAAGATTGTAATCTCTAAATATATATTGTGTTTACCTCAAGGTGAGGAGGAATTAAGAGTTTGTGGGAAAGTTAAAGCGGAAGCTTCCAAAGATTTTTAAATTTGTAAAATTTGTATGCTTATGTATGGTAGGGAATATTTGCAATGTCGGCTGCTTCATCTGCCAATGGCAATGGACATTGTCGTGCATGTATGAGCGTTGAAGAGTTGATGGAACGTGCTCGAAAACTAGCCGGGAAAGTGTCCGTAAAGAATGATACAGGGCAATCATCAACTGCTCAAACTTCCTCAGTTCGTATTTTGTTTATTGCAGCGTACAGGAAAATATTTTTTTTTCTTTACTCCGTTATTATAATTGTTTGCGTTAGCAAAACTATCTGAAATGTTGGAAAATGTTTGCTTAAAATTTGAGACTGATCAGATATGGTCTTTTCATTACATCAATAGCACGTCGCGTAAGAATTTTTGCAAAATATAATTGGTTCTTTCAGGGTTCATTTAAAAAGAAACCAATGAGGACTGATTGTCCTGTCACTATTGAAAAACTAGGAAATTCAACTTGGAATTTGCTTCATTCAATAGCAGCATATTATCCTCTTAAACCATCACTTGAACAAAAAAAAAATGCAAGTACCTTAATGGATCTGCTAGGAAAGGTAGGTAATGCTCATTTTATGATTGCTGTGACATCATTTATCAACTGGATGTGCAAACATATTTTCGAGTGACAGTCGAAAATGCTTGAGGGAACTAGATAAGTTTTTGACTAATATACTGAATATTGAAGTGGTTTTTTTCACATCTTGATCTTAAAAAAACATCTCTTATATTCCAGTAATGTCTGCTATTGAGATAATTAGAGGTACTGGAAATTATTGGTTTTTCCATTCTTTTTTTAATCACATAAAAAATTTGTTAAGAGTAGAGAACTGGAAGGAAACATTCATCCTGATTATTTTATCGTATATTTTTATCAGAGTAGAGAAAGCTATGAAAATTATTGTCACTAATAATGCATTAACATTAAACTAGCTTATTCTGCTGTAAGGTTTACTGAGTATCCGCATGTAATTAGCATAATGATAATGGAAGTTTTAGTGTAGAACTTCATGCACAAAAACACTAATGTGCTAAGAATTGCAAATAATGTTATGATTATAGTATCAAATTTGATTACAGTAGTTATTAAGCCATCTGTAAATTTAACTAGTGCACTGATACTCATTCATTATTTGGAAAAAATTTGCGGAATTTGACAATTTTTTATAGATTTATCCATGCTCGCATTGTGCAGAAGACCTACGACAGGATTTGATAAAACATCCTCCGGATGTTGAAGATCGTGAAAGATTTTCATTATGGATGTGTGGATTGCATAATCGAGTGAATAAGAAACTTGATAAACCCGAATATGATTGTGCACAGTGGAAGGAACGATGGCTAAATGGTTGGAAGGATGGCTCTTGTGAATATTAGCTTCTATAGGCTGAACTGATATTATTTTGAAAAAAATATTTCAATTGATGATTTTCAACTTTCTTAATGGATGCAAAGGAGAACATGTAAATATGAATCGTTTATATCGATTGTTGTTCAAAAACTATGATTTGAAGTTTTGAATTTAAATGGAAAAAATTTTTTTCTACAAGAATTGATATTGGCATTCATATTTATTACAGTTTTTTACCACCGTGAAATTACGTACCCATCTTCTGAAGCGGTTTTATTTTACTGCATAATGCATATAAAGTTTTGTTAATGACCGCAGGCAATGACATTTTCAGCGACAGTTGTTTAATTGCTCGAATTGAAAACCCTGATTTGTTTGAACTTTTAACTAGCGATTTGTTAAAACTTGGAATTGAAGTGTTTTTTGCTGCCTCATTATTCCTGATTCTTCGCGAACGAAAAGGAACTTATAGTTTTATTTTGCTCCTTTCTCTTTTTCTTTCTTTCTCTATCTGACCTACTTAATTGTTCAAGATATTGGTGACGAAGGATTGATATCTCTAAACAGTTAATGAATCTTCCAGTTTCACTTGGGATTCGATGATGTCGGCAGAAGACTGGTATTCGTAGGCATTGGTGTTGAATTATTAACAGTAGTCAAGTGATTGAATTCATTGTGAAGTTTATTTTGTTGTTAAGAACAGTGTACAGAATACGACATGATGTATATTGAAGTAGGTGTTCATTTTGTGCATAGTCAAGTCTTATTTGTATCCTTTTCTATATGTAGTTCTCACCTTGAAATAAGTAACATTGCGATTATTAGCGTTGATTTGATGGAGATAATCTAGATTTTACGGTGTCACTCAAAAATAATGGTATGCTGGGCATTTAATTGCGGCGTGCTTTTGTCTTTTGAATGAATGCTGCATGCTGATTATGGCATAATATCAACCTCCTAAGGGAAAGGATAGCAATTTTTATTTATTTGCTAAATAAATTCTTATTAAATGAAAGTCCTTTTTATTACGAAGATCTTCACCTTTTGACGAGTTAATCATGTTTTATTATAGGATTGCAGCGTTATTGTTGATTCTAAAGCTGAATCGGAAGCGAGTTCTGAATCTGAAGGTAGCGACAACTATGCAAATGAAGAGAAAACAATTGAAAAACAGAAAGAAAATGCGAAAGAAGCTACTAGTAATACCAACAATTTAAATGGTAATTTGGCATCTGGAGATTCCATTTTTAATTATTGGAGTACGAATTTATGTGGAGGTTTGCAAAATTTTGAAATAAAACAATCTTTAATAATGTGTATGTGTTAATGCAGTTTGCGAAAACATGCACAGTTTCCCACACTGAGATTTAATTTGGCGTACAAAAATCAAATTTTAATGCATTATTGAAAGTAAAGATATTATTAATCCTGTTCTGGTGTCTCTTCCTTCATACTGATTCACTTGATCTTTGGAAAACATTTATTCTATAATTAACTATGATAATGATTTCAGATATTTTGAAAATTGAACAAGATAATAGTACTGTAGGAAAAGATTCTCAGAGTGCTGCGAGAAATATTGAACCTTCGGAATGCTTTTGTTTTGATGAAAAAAGTAGTAACGGTAATAACATTGTCGAGGAATTGGAGAAATGGGCTATTACTCCCAGGATTTCAGCAAATTTTTCATGTGAATATTTGTTGTATTTTCTTATTTTTCCTTATGGTGCGAATGATCTACATGGAGAGTTTCTTCAAATTTAGTCAATGCTTGACAATATTTCCGACCATTTCTTCTCCGCTTACTTCAATACTCTTTCTTATTTCAAAATGTGGAGCCACTGATTTAGGCGGGCATAGTAGCAGCAGTAAAATATAGTAAGTAATTTGAGATAGTCACTAGAAAGATAAATAGTTATATCTCTAAATATTTCATATTTCTTAATATTTTCAAGTTCTGAATATTGACTGTAAGTGATCGGAAATTTATATATTTCAATATACATTTCCAAATTTCCACAGCTCTTTCGGAACGTTCATTTAGTGTTTATTTAGATGATGAGAGTAAATCATCTATATGTTCATCAAAAAGAAAGAAAAGCAGAGAGAAGATGAAGCAGTTTCAAATGGAAATTTTTTTTGCATCGGTCATTGAAATGCTTTGCGACGGTGAATTTGAGGGTTTGAATATTCACTTTCGAGAAGGTGTGTCTTTTATTAACACTTAATTTTGTAACAAATACTTCTTATATTTGTTGTGGATAAGTCATTTTTTTTTTCGTAGATTTTTCATTTCTTTGAATTATCGTATTACTGAATGTTTGCTGAGTGTATTTGTTTTCCTCGTTTAGATCTATTCTCCAAATTGATTTCTTATAGTTTTCGATGATAAATTAGGGATAGCTTCTTCCTTCATATTCATTATCACTTTATGCCTCAAGTTTACTTTAATTTCAGATACCAGTAATTGCTGTTTTATTTTGAAAATGCTTGAGAATCTTTTATCTAATCTTTTCACTAACTTTCTTTAATGACGGTTAGTGAAAAGGCAGAATAATAAATTCTGGTTAGTGAAATTTTTGAATCGGTAGATCAGATGATTATTTCAGTTTTGAGAAAAATTGCTGGACACTTTATTCATTCTTCATATCTTTCCGAAGATTACGGAGCATTTCGTATTGCAATTAGAAGAAGAATAATGGAAACTCTGAATACTACAAACCTTAAAATCGGGAATTGGTACAGTACTCTCACATCTGTATAAAAAGGAGGTTTATTTTAAAAAAAACATGTAGTTACAGTTTAATCGTTAACCAAATATGGTCTTATCTCTTTGCTAAAAAACGTTCATTTTTTAATAGTTTGTTTTAAAAGAATTTTTTTAATATTTAACACTATTTTGACATGAAAAAACACTAGGAGTTTTCTTGTAGTTTAACTGTTAATACTCCTGAAAAAAGGAGTTATTTCTTATCCAGCCGGTACAGCGTCGATTTCAAAGAAATTAGAAGGATTGGACGTGGAGGCTTTGGCGAAGTTTTTCATGTAATGCTTGGAACTTCATTTTAGAATTGACTAATGTAAAGGCAGTTCTGTCTTGTTCATTTGGTTTGCATTTGTAAGGTTATAGTGAAATTTCGTGACTTCGAGGACTTCAGTCGCTTCCTGATTATGAATTTTTGTTTAAGGTACATTCTAATATTGATAACTGCGATTACGCTATAAAAAAGATCCAATTCAACTTGACGATGTCTGAGCCGGTGGCGAAGGTTAATCATATATAATTATTTCAGTCAATAATTTCAGAAATTCCCTGTTTTCAACTTGGTAAATTTTGCAGACATAATTTCGATGGATTAATTTTGTAGAGATGTGAGTTGTTTCTATTTAATTCTTGAAATTCATCAAATTATAGGTTGTCAATGAAGTTCGTCTGCTAGCGGCTGTTCAGCACACGAATATCGTGCGATACTATGCAGCTTGGCTAGAGCTGCAAGATCTGCGGTTATCATCATCTGGAAAAAACGATGATTATCGAAACGAAGGGTGACTGAGATAGTTGTTCTTTTTTGTGTTTTAATTTTAGTGTTATTTCTTCTGAATACGGTGTTTTCAAAACTTTCGAATTTTTTATTTTTTCACTATTAGCAAATATAAATTTGATGATTTAAACAAAGTCTGAAATTAAGAGAGGAAGTTATTTGGAAGAATTCATCTGAGAAGGAAGAAAAAAACATGTTATCGCCAGCTATTACTTATTCAAGCTTTATTCAAATGGTATGTATTGCCTCAGAGAGGACTAAAGTTTTATTTCTAATATTTCTTGCTTTTTGCTTAAATGTTTTTGCACAAAAATTGTTCTTTGCTACAATTCTATAAAAATCTCTATGTTTACTGCTTTAACAAAGACTTTTCTGCTTAATTTAGGATAAAAAGGACGATTCGAGGATGCAGTTTGCCCCAGTTCCTGCAAAACTGGGTCGTTTTTGGAGGCTGGAATCTTCAACCATTTCGAGTTCAACGATTTCAGAAAACTGGAAGATGCGACGAACTATTTCTACCAATCAAAACTTAGCGATTACAAGAGGGAACACGAGAACTGACCCAATAAATTTAATTTTACCTCAATCGGTAAGCGGAATTAATTAGCTTGAAAACTGAAATCCTTTTCATTAATTAAATTTATTTTTAGGGCACTGCAGTTATGTTCGTACAAATGGAACTTTGCTCTCGTACTCTCAGTGATTATTTTGTTGAACGAAATGCCGGTATTTTTGTCTTCATTTTCTGAGAATTATCATTAATGCCTCGACTAGAATGTTAAAAAGGATATAAAAGATTTTCTTTTAATATGTGAAATTAAATTCGTTGCAGAAATCAGACCGAAAATAGATCGACAGCTGAATAGAAGCATCATGGAGCAATTAATGTCTGCAGTGACTTATTTACATTGCAAAAAAATTATTCACCGAGATATCAAAGTTTGTTTTGTTCTGCTCTTTAGACTTCGCAAAATCAGTTTACTGTTTACTGTTTACTTCATAATTTGAAAAAAAAATTCGTTTTTTTTGAGACATTTTTTTTATTCGACTTAATTTTATTATTTTTGCTTTTTTGGGTCATTCAAAGTGATTTGCAGTTATTTATTTGTCTTACGTAGCATATAGCTGATGTGTGTATTGCGTTAGTAACTTTTCTTATTTAATGTACCCTGAAATTTTTGTTGAAATTGTTTGTCACTAATCTTGAAGTTATCATTCGTAAATTTAATTCCTTCAGCTTTCAAATTTGTATTGCAAAAGTTGAATATGTAGTCCAACTGGTTAAGCAGTGTTCTAATCTTATTTCTTGATGGGATCTGACACTTGTACTTTAAATTATATATCACTTGTATTTTAAATTATTAAATTAGAAGCAATAATATTAATACTTGATGTAATTTGTTTTTAGCCGAGTAATATTTTTCTTCGTAATGAGAGCTCTTCTTCAATTCCATCTGTACTTTTGGGCGATTTTGGACTAGCATGCCTGCACCAAACTAAAGTGTTTCACAATACTACAGTTGCTGAAAACGAGATAACCACCCATAGCCGAGGTGTTGGTACTTCTGTGTACGCGGCACCTGAACAGCAAAATTCCACCATCTATGATAATGCAGTGAGTGACTGTTATTATTTATATCGAATTTTGGATGATTTATTTGTAGATAATTTATTTTTAGTAGTTCTAAATAATTATGATTTGATCTGTAGTAAGGGTCACAAATGCCATGAAGTCCATTCACTATTCAGTTTTAATTAATCCGAAACCATTTCGCTAATTTTATATTTCAGTAAATTCGACAGCTTCCACAATTCTCACCACTTATATTTTATTCAGAAAAGATAAAAAGGAATTTTCGTGAGCTGAAAATATATTTTATTAATTTCAGGTAGATGTCTATAGCGCTGGAATTGTATTTTTTGAACTATGTATTCCATTTCACACACAAATGGAGCGATTGGAAGCAATTGAAAAGTTGAAGAATGGAAAATTGAGCAAGGAATTCAAAACTTCTTTTCCTGATGAAGTCTGCATTTTATTGGTCTTGTGACTGAAAGAAAATTAACAGGCTTTAACGGAATTTGTGACTAAAAAAAATGAGCAAAGTTTTATCGGAGTTCTAGTTGTTGGTTTTTATTTTAATTTACGATGAGGGATAGAAGATTTTGTGAACAATTTTTATTATCACCACCCAGTTTGTTATTTATTACCCTTATCATTGTGCCGACTAAAATCATTAATCGTTATCATTGTTTTAGGCGAAACTTATTAAGAAAATGTGTAAGAAAATTCCAGAAAAACGACTTCATGCTTTTGAAATTGTCACTAAACTTGGTAGAATTGGAGAAAATGTGGAGTCCCTCAAGGATCGTATCAAAGAACTTGAAAAGGAAGTTGTACGATTGAGGAATCTTTTGCTTGATAATAATATTACAGAAATTTGAATTTATCTAAATTTGCATGTTGAATAGGTAACGAATTTTATTATTGGATAATCGTTGTTGTTCCAAGTATTGCTAAATTACTGTTATGTTGTTTAAGCATGATTTGATCTGAAATTTTTGTGATTCAGTTTCAATGTTAATCTTATCAATTTTCAGCCCATGTTTACCTTTAATTAATATCTTATAATGTAATTCCAGAATTAGATCCGGGATAACAAGGAAAAGAAAATAAGGAAGATCAATTATGTCTAAATAATGTAGAAATTTAAAAAAACCATTTCCAGGAATTTTTTTTAAAGAAATTATTTTGATTCCGTTGATTTTCTTCTTCTTATCATCAGTAATATCATATCTTTCCCTTTGTTTGTGTCAGATTTTTAATGCTGAAATTAAGTTAATTTTCGTGTATCTTAATTGGTCTTATTATCTTTCGATTTTCCCGCAAATGATTTGAATTTTCGTTTTTTAAAATGGTTTGCCTCATTAGTCAAAGTAGAAGAAACTTTGGTTTTTTTCGTTGTTACAAATATAAATAAAAATTGTTTATGTCGTGATTCATTTGTCGTGGATGTAATTTCCAGTTCGATGAAATACTTTGTCATATTCATCATTTTAAACAGTAGCAGTAGATTTTGATCAAGAATTACCGAGACTTTCTTTGGGGTCAGCTGCATTTCAGTTAGCAGCACCATTGGAGGCAGTGTTATGCTGGATGGTCGAGTGATTACAAAATAGATGTAAATATTTACATTAAGGATATTTTTTTGAGTTAATCTAATATGTAAGAAATAACTGTAAATATGCATTGGAAATATATGGAAAGATTTTTTTAGAATTCATATAAATTTTTCAGACTAAATTAGGATTGAAGTTTCGCCCTTTTCTGTTAAATTTGAATCCTCCTCTGTAGATGATGATGTCTTGATGTCATCCATTCCTTCCATTTGCCCATCTGTTGACATATTTTTCCAGAGAGAAAAGGAAGAAGAGGATGAAGAGTAAGGAAATGGAAATTTTGACGAAACTGTTGACATTATATGTCTGATCTTCTTCTTTTTCTATACTCTTTCCTCATGTCATGATTGATTGCATCTTTTTTACACGTTTTAATTACCTAATAGTAGATGAGTTATCGTTATCAAGATCTGAGTGTAATTTTCTAATGGGCACGCAATAGATAACTACGGTACTTATCATGCAACATGTGTCACTGCTGTGGTGTCCTAGGGGTTGTTATGATTATCTAATTGTTATCGAAAGGATTCATACTTATTGTATCATGGTTGGCATTAAATCATTTCAGACTGTTATCATTTGCATATTCTTTTTATTTCTGGACTTTTGGAAACATCAAAAAGCTTAATTCCAGAACTTTTTTAAAAGAAATCCAGATATGGATGTCTTCCTTGATTTTTGCCGTAAAGATGTGGACATTAGCAAAAATGCAACTAATGAACTGCTACTTACAAAACACATGGATTTCATTGCTCGTTATGTCGAAAATAAGGAATCATATGTAAATAATTTGCTTAATGATTTCTGTACTTTTTCGATAGATTGAGCTTTGCTTATTTTAAATTTTTCTATTGCCCATATCATTCTGAGTTTGTGGCAAGTATGGAATAAGATTAGTATTTATGAATATTTTTCATTAAGAGTGGGAATCAATAGTAATGTATTGATATTAGAGTCGATTGTAAGGAGTTGTTCTTCATCTCAAAAAAAAGACCAATAATTTTTTAATGGATAAGTTTTGTAGTAAATATTTTATCAAGTTGCACATTTTTAATTACAGGAAAATGTTACTACGGAATATCTTCGAGTGAGTGGTATCTATTGGTGTTTGCAAGCAATGGACATAATGGACTGTTTGCATGAAATGGATGTTAATGAGATTGCTGTTTACGTGAAACGGCGTCAGCAACCAAATGGTGGTTTTGCACCTGCTGAACAACATGATGATCATTTACTGCATACATTGAGTGCTGTACAAGTAAACTTGTACTTATTATTCTTTAAACTATTACAGAAGCAAACACTGCTATTGTAAATCTGTTTGTCCGATTCAATATCACATGTAGATGCACACGAGCATATTACAATTGCGCGTTTCATGAATGAGATTTAGGTAATATTGAATTTTCATTCCAATGTGGATTTTCGCTCAAATTCAAATATGATGCACAATAACACTGATTTACTATAATAATAGTTGAAAACAGATATGATGGCCAAAATGGTTATTCATTTAATAATCAACAGTAGCATGACCATTTCATTTGTTGCTTCATGAAGTCTGGAATAATTAAACCATTTATCTGTATTATATCGTTAAACGAACCATATTGACTTCTGATGACCGGTCCTGACGCACCTGTGATTTCTTTCCTTGCGAGGCTTCCTTTGAATCTATCTCTATTTGCCGCTGCGTAATTCATAGTTTGCCACATGTAAATAAATATGCTAACGAAAGATTATGTTGCGGTATTAATCAAAAGAAAGGTGGAAAAGGTAGAGGTAGCATTGTGCAATGTAAATCAGTTCATCTCCTTCGATTAGAAATTGACGATTGTGTCCAATTTCCTTTCACTTTGTGTTCTCTTACTACTTGCATATGGACTTACTGAAAAATGTATTATCATCACTGGTCATCCAGATCTTTATCGTATATTATTTTATTGGTTATTAATGGCAGATTATTTTGCTCATTACCGTCTTTTATGCATTTTAAATTAACAGTGGCTTAGAGCATAGATCTTGCTTGTTTTTATTCCGTGAATTTTTCTTGCTAGATTCTTTTTGTTTCTAGTTATGTTTTTCAAAGTCTTGCATCTAGAAGATCTCGAAATATGATCAGACAGAGATTCATATTTTGTCCTATGTTCTCTCTATATTTACTTATTAGGTTTTTTTCAGCAGAAAACTTGACTTTTAGGGAATAAATTTATTTCTAGAAAATCCTGAGAATATCGAAAACTATGAAATATATTACGAACTTTAACGGTATCGGAAACAGTTATTAGCAAAGTGCTTCAAATTCTGTATGATCCTTTATGAAAATATTTTAGATAATGATAATGCTACGTAAACTGGATGAAATTGATACAGATGCGGTGGCCCGTTATGTCACATCCTTACAAAATGAAGACGGAAGTTTTGGCGGCGATGAATACAATGAGATTGATACTCGCTTCTCATTCTGTGCATTGGCGACGCTTCATTTGATTGTAAGTCCAAAAAAACATTCTTAAATTTTGACGAATTTACGATTTTTATCTTTAAGATAGGGCTTAATAGTATTTTTACATGGATCGCGTGGAATTAACGGCAGGAAAATATCGTTTATTGCAAAAAAACCCATTGAGCACCGTGAGATTATTTTATTTTTTATATGCAAAGAATTAACAAGTTTTCTGAAAATAATTGGAAATAAAAGCAAAGGAAAATTAGGATATTAGAAAATTTTTTCTTATAAATATATAGAATTATTAATAGAATATAACAAAATATTTTTATCCGCTTTTAGGGAAAGTTAGAAAACTCGATAAACATAGAAAAAGCTGTAGATTTCATTCTTCTTTGTTACAATTTCGATGGTGGATTTGGAAGAAAGCCTGGTTCAGAAAGCCATGCTGGACAGGTTTGTTATCATAGTTATTCTGTTCATAATGTACTTGAAAATAATTTAAAAAGTGTTAAAAGCGACAAATTTATTAACTATCAGGTATATTGTTGTTTGGGAAGCCTGGCGATAGCAGATTGCTTGGAAATGATCGACGTTCAGCGAACGGCACGATGGTTGGCAGAAAGACAATGTCGGTCAGGTGGCCTGAATGGTATATTTGATTTTACTTTATTTGCTTTATTTTATCTAAATCAAATCATCAATTGAAAAATAGGTATAAATTTTCATTTTTCAGTTGAAATTTCATAAAATTTTATAATCATAGAGTGCTGCATCACTTCCAGCATGAGAAACTAATTTTTTTTTAAAGGAAACAGAAGTATTGCATTACTTCTAGCTTGAAAGAGTGATTTTTTTAAAGGAGGCAATATGAAGTCCTTAGATCGTTTCAGTTATTTTTTCAATAAATGGGTAACTTTCTATAAACAAGTTAGAAGTATGAAAGAAAATATAAAGAGCTATCAAGACGAAAATAGATCATAACATAATTTTCTATTGATTGAGAGAGAACAAAAAACTGGAACTGCGCAACAAGGTTGTAGAAGGTTAAAGGTCACAATTCAGCAGAACTGTAGTTAGTTTTTTAGTGTATCACCAAATTAACACTTAAACAGTGGAAAAATAACGAGCACAGCTATCAGCTTTATGGATAAAATAGACTTTATTTAATTGAACATAATCTTTTCTATAATGAATGAGAATTATTCAAATTACCGGTATACGGAAGATTTAGCAGTAACTAATGACATAATGTATTATAATACCATCACTGTTGTTGTATTACATTAGTTGATCCCTGCAGAGTGAATGAAAAGAATGAAGGCGTCACTAGATAATAGCTGTGATGACACTATTTTCGTCGAATGATTTACTGCATCCCCTGCTGTTCACCTCCTTCCTGTTAATAGTTTTTCATCTGCGAGCCATTTATTAAATTAGTTAGCTTTTCCATATTGTAAGTATAGTGGCCTTAAACGCGAAATTTGCTAATTTTCATATAGGAGGAAGTGTGACAGTGTAAGTATAGTGGTCTTTCCCTCCCTTAAAGATATGCAGTATATTCGGTTTTCCTCCCCATTTTATAGTACATCACAAGTGTCATTTCATTTCAATGAAGTTATATAATGATATCTCATAATTATTTCCATCGATTTTTTCGAGGTCTTTTGAGCTACATTGTGAAGAACTATTATAATGATTATCAGTTAATTGTGATTATGTTAATATTTAAAGTGATAAAAAAATATTGACTGTGATAAGAAAGAACGATTCTTAGAAATTCAATATTTTTTCCATGTGTTGTGATTCGTGAATTGGATCAAGGTGACCTTTGTGAAACGATACTGATGGAGATGTATGTACTAAAGATAGGATTCAGTTAAGGACGCGTGGCGTAAAACATAATAAATTAGAATAGTTGTCCCTTTGCCACCGTTCATCAACTAACTGTGCATAAATGTTACATTCTCTTTTAAAGGGCTACACAATTTACGCATCATTTATACGCATTATCGGACATGTCATCAGCAGCAAGCAGTGCATGAGGAGAAAAGGGCAAAGATGAGAAATATTCATAAAAGTTGTAACAGTGCCTCTTAAACTTACTTACTTCTGTTGTATTTTGCAATATATATTAACAAATTAGTTGCTGTCGGGAAATATATGCTGAGATATATTACGTTAATGTGTAAGGAAACGTCTGAGGAAAATATCTAATGTAGGTATAGATGTCTAGCACTAGGCAGTACAAAAAAGGACAAATGCGCAGAAGTAAAAGAAAAAATTGAAATCTGTATTGTTTATCCTTTTGCATCTTTAAAGAAACATTTCAGGTAGACCAGAGAAATTACCGGATGTTTGTTACTCCTGGTGGGTACTTGCATCGTTGAAAATACTTGGACGATTGCACTGGATTGATAATGTTAGTGGCATTTCTGAAATTATTACTTATTAGAATCCTTATTAGAATCTTGTAACCGAAAACTTTACCACATTAGGTATTGGGAGCATGGCAAACTTTTGCTATTAATCTATTAAATTCATCTGTTATTTCAGAAGTCGATGATAAAGTATATATTAGCATGTCAAGACAAAGATGGTGGTTTTGCTGATAGACCAGGAGATGTGGTAGGTTAATATTTTATTTTGCATTTATATTGACAGAGATTTTCATTGCAAAGAATGAATCCCCATGTTGATTTTGATGCACATACATCTTTTATTCAATCATTATTTTGATAGATCTCATTTTCCGTACGTTTAGATTCTTTGAATGATGATCAGCTCAATGCATAGTTTCGATATTTTGTAGAATTCTGTCTGTTTTTCTTTTAGACATATCTTTCCAACTTCTTTTCAGGCTGATCCTTTCCATACTGTTTTTGGGCTTGCAGGACTAAGCTTACTTGGCGGTCACAGTAAGTTGTTAACAGCAGTTGATCCTATATTCTGCATGGGGAAGAAATGTCTTGGTGATTTATCTATATGTTAAAAAAAACAATGTGATAGACTGCTTCACTTTTTTAATGAGATGCTACGTTGTTTATTGCTATGAACTGTGAAATTTGCTTCAATATGCTCTCCATCATTTCATACAATGCTTTTCAGAAATAAAAACGTAATTTCCAGAAAAATTTTCCTTCATCTTCCTCTATTATTTGTAAAGTAAGTGTAATTTCCAAAAAATCTTTATATGAAATTATAATTTCATATAAAGATTTTTTTGGTGTACTCATTGGTTTGGTGCGCTTATTTTAATTTTTTGATCAAAGAATATGCGAAGAAATGATGAAAAATGCTTTAATTTTACCTCATATTCATTTTTCCAACGGAATGATAGAAATTTTGTTGTATTTTAAACATCAAAGTAAGCAATCAAAAAGAGAAGAGATTCAATACTTTGAACATTTCTCATTTAAAAAAGGAGACTTTCAAAATCAATGTAATGAGCATTGTATTGATATGGTGAGAGGAGCGGAATGAAGGAAAGTGGGTAATTAAAGAATGATGGAGTGCACAATAGTAGTGTACCTTGTCATCACCGTGTTGCATATATTTTTATAGCCATTATAAAGCTTTGTATGTTTGATGGAAATGTAATGCGGCACGTGTCATAATTTTGCCTATAACAATGTCATATTTTTGATAGTTGTAAAATTGTGGTTTTAATAATTTTGCAGGCTGAATTTAGACTGAATTGACTGAATGCCTCATTATATTACATCAATATTTCTGTTGCTAATAGAGATTGTATTTAATTGATTTTCGAGTTATTCCTATTTTTTTTATTTTTTAGTTTTTCACTATTTTATCAATTACGTGCATTTTTATAAAAGCCACCTAAATTTGTTTCGCAAAGTTTAGGAAATGTCGCACGAAATTCGGAGTTTTTTCCGTGAATTAATTCTTTTGATTCAAATATTTTGCTAGATGACACCAGAAAAGTATTCATCAATGTTTATGAAGTTATTTATTTATGCAAATATTATTCTTTTACTCATGAGTTAATTCGATCGTGATTCTGACAGTTTCAGTACAAAGTATATTGCATGTACACATTCTCGAATGCCTCAATATCCTGTGCAACACATTCACTCTGAAAGTTTAAAATTCAAATATTAGTTGTAGATCAGGCTAGAAAAATATATAACAGCCGTACTAAAACAGAAGAAAACATGATTTTGCTAGCTCTTCTAAACTTGGAATGTATAACTTCTTTGCAGATGTCAAAGAATGAACAACGTGACGCATTGATTACAGTAAAAATTGAAGGAATAGAGTTATTCACAAACGTGAATTAAACTGAGTGTACTTTGCATGGAATGATCGAGTTGTAAAAAGGGATAGCGGGAGCATTGTATTAAAATTTAGTAATGATAAAGTTAATGCAATTAAAATGTGACCTCTCCTTGCAAATATTGTTATCGTCTTGGATTCTTCACAGACCATTTCTTAGAATGCTTTAAATGTACCGTACGATTACGTATCACGTGTACTTCTTTTGTTACAATATGCTACTTCTGTTCGCTTTTCTAGTGGACTATTGCAACGAATAGATTCTTGAAGAAGAATTTATTGTTGCATCAAAAGTAAGGCTGGATCTTATACGTCAAAAGGAGATAATACCGAAAGATTCTATCATTAAAAACATTTAGCGAATGCACGGCAATGAGGAAAAACTATTGTAATTTTTAAAATAAAACTCCCACATTTAAATTTGAAATTGGAACGAGTATAAATGCAAAAATAGATAAACTAAGCTTTCATCCCTTGTTAGTTTGGTGTGATTGAAGGAAATTATAAAACAATTGACGTTAATAACATAGTATGATACCGTAGGCTTTCCTATATCTAGAAATCCGGATAACCCATTATTGAAATATTAACTTTTCAGTGTTTCAGCCGCAAAGGTAAGCCTCTGAGATATATTAAATGGAAAAATAGCGCAACAAGACGAGATGACATTCAACAAAACGGAAATGTAAGATGGGTTACCGTAAGATTTGAATGTGTGGATGATTTTCTTAGAGAGAGAAAAGAGAGGAGGAGAGGAATTCGGGTACCGACTGCGCCTAGAAATTTTGTCGCTCCGCCCAAATCTTAAGAAAAATTCAGTTTTGATTGCATGACATGACATATGGTTCTTTTACATATTTTATTGATAGAAGTTTGCAAATACTGATTTGATATTGGAAATGTCCTTCTCCTCCTCCTCGACATTACCAACAAGTTGGCAACAACACTATTATACATCATCAACAATTGCGCCTAACAAGAAATCCACTAATTTTACAGCCATTGCTACAACTGCTAATTATGCTAATCAACCAGGCGTATACTGCAATCAGTCTGATGAGAATTTCTCTTGGAATCAAAAGTAAGCTTATTTCAAAAAAAGTTTGCAAAATTTTACCAAAAAATTATTTGTTATTCTTTAGCTATAGATATGCTTCAATAATTCACTAATTGATAGAAGTGATATAACAAAGTGATCAAATAACATTTATGATATTACTCAACAATCACATACGGGAATTTTGCTGTTGAGCAAAAATCAATCTCTAATATTCATGAATGTATTTATATAATTTTATTATGATATTAAGTAATCGATCAACACCAAACTATTTTCGTTGAAGGATTTACTTAATTACGTATAATTTCCTGATTGCCACTTATATTGAATATGTAGTTTTATAAACTGGCAACTTTTATGATTGACTGACTGAAATAAACTTAACGTTTAATTGCTGCTATGAACTCATGAAAAAGAATTATTGCTCGGTTTTCTTTATACACTTATTTCCTATTGATTTTATTTCTAATTGCTATCCTAGCTTTTTTCTAATTACAATCCTCATTATTTCTCAAAATTAATGATACAATAAATGATTAAAGGTGTAAAATTATTACTTGTGATAATATATGCTAATATATAATATGTGCTGTAATCAGCAAGAAACTCAGGCAGCACTAAGGAAAATAGCCTTTATGGAAATCAATGAGTATTTCAGTTATATTCAGAAAGAAGAGGAGATGGAACAGTTGAAAATAAAAGTACCGAGGAGAAATAAAGGTGGTTTGCGACGATACAAAACACCCAGCCCACAATTGTTACGGATGCGACGTCAAGCGGCGAATGCGCGTGAACGACGGCGAATGAACAATTTGAATGATGCATTCGATAGGGTTAAATTCGTTATTTATAGCTTATCCCATATAGCTCAATGAAAAATACAAGCAATTAGAAAAAAAGCTCGAAAGTAGGAAAAATGAATGAAAGTATGCAAAATCAGAAAGTGGAGAAGTGATACTTTATTGATCACATTTTACTTAATGCTATGGGCTTTGAAGAGTTTCATAGATATGGGAAAAATGATACATTAATCTAAATATATCAACTTCTTCTTTTACTTCTCTATATTCTTTTTTTTTTTCGTTACAAATATCAAATACGATCTCACATTAGTGATGGACAATTGATCAGTTAAATAATAATTATCTCAATCAAATATTATTGCTTGTACCAACCAGTATTATCAAACGTTAAATTAACAGTAGCATATACAAATATAAAATTTTTTTCTGCTCAAACTCTTTTGTTTTAGCTCCGAACTGTGTTACCATCAGTAGGCACCGGTAGAAGATTGTCGAAATTCGAAACGCTTCAAATGGCGCAACAATACATTGATTGTTTAGCAGAATTATTGAATAAACCACGATGATCTATCTTTTTTTTCTCTTTGTTTGTAAATAAAATTTTTTTAACTAATTATTGAAATGGATGGTTAAGTTTATTTTTCTCTTCGAATACAGCAATCTCAAAATAGTTGTGATATCTCCTTATACGATAATGGCCTTAAAAAACCCATTTGATTAATTAAGTCTTGCTGTTTATCTTACTCAATTTATTATCTGCGAACTGCAATAAGTTTTCATAAAACTGATGCTACTTTTTGGCATTAAATTAGCCTTTTTTTTAATTATCACCACTTAGCAGCAGATATTTCCGGAATGGATACTGTAATCCATTTGGATAATTTCGATCCGAATTATTGAACGAGCATAATTTATTGTGCAATGCAGTTCAAAAATTATTGACAATATATTAAGACAAATATGTTAACCATTTGAAGTTAAATCGATTGGAATATTATTACTCTTACTTCAATTGCTCGACCAGAAAAACGAATATCTAACATTTAAGTAATTTTTAGATCTTATCATAATCAGTTCTGACATGATTAAACGAAGAAGAAGTGATTAATTTTCTCTGTATAAAACGTCGAGATAATTACTATTTTCAAGTGTTCTAGCAAAAAAGTGAGGCGAAATCTTTTTCTTATTTTTTCGCAATGTGATCGCAATATACATTATTGTGTATAAATAGATTTCTGGCAGCTTACCAAAGCGGTCTAACCTTTTGATGTATGGTGTGAATTTATTTATTTTCTTTTTATTTAAATTATTTCAAAACATTACTGAGACCATTGCGGGTTTCTTTGTACTCCTTCTATTGTTGCCCTCAAAAATACCTATTTTATTTGTGAGAAGATAAAACTTTTTTCACAAGTTCTCTCTTTTTTTTAAAAAAATGGAATTTTCCATGAATTCAATACAAATGAAAGGATCAAATAAGTACATTTGGACATATTTAATGACCTAATTAGTTATTTAATTTGGATTATTTTTTCGGCGATCAATTTATATTTCCTTCCACAAAGTACATTTCTTGCTTTCTTTGCCTAAAATTTTAGGTATGAGATTTATCCATCTATAGTAGCAAAGGGTTCTTGTTTTAATATCACTTTGATATTCTCTTTCCTATTTTTAGTTCGCTATTTTCTTATCCCAATTTCAACGCATCTTACTTTTTTTATAAGTCAAAGCATTATTGCGCTGATGCCTATTTGATAGCCTATCAAAGCCTATCAAATAGTATGCAAATAGTATTTTAATCCTATCAGTAGTATTTCAAGCTTATCAAAGAGTACTTTAAGCCTGTTAAATAGTATGCAACATAATATTCTACGTAATTCTGTTCAAATTTCGCTACATATTATCTAATAATTTTTATTCCTTCTTGACTTCTTACCTTTATTTTTCTTAGTATTTGGAACTGCAAAGTTTGTTTAATTTTTGGGTTGAAGTGTTACTGAGGCGAACTCAGCAAGTATTATTGATGAATGTGACAAAAGCGCTATGTCTTTTGTGTTAATTTGAGATTTCTCTTCCAACAATTGCTTACTGCGCTAACTCTGACCAGCGCTATTGTTTATCAATGTGCTGAACCGTTCTATGACGTTTGCATAGTAATTATGTGATAAGCCATCATTAGCAAAGGACAATATTGTGAAAGCGTGCAATAAGATATAATTACATGACCGTTGACCTTTATTTGATGTTACCTGCACATTATTTTTGATAAATTTTTGCCTGAAAAGAAAGCAATTACCATCAATAATCAAATCCATCGTTACACTCACCTTTCATATCTATATGAAATAGCGGCAATGGTTGTACAATATAAGGGCTCTATAGCTAGAAAAAGGCATTTCCCAGTCTTAATTTTATACTTAATTGCATTATCCTATCAATAATAATTTTAGAATTTCATTTAAGTTCTGACAACTTCCAATTCCCTTCAGATCATAAAATAGTAAGTTTAAGTTCACAAATTTGCATTTTATTCGAACTTCAACGGTTGGCTTTAAAATTCAGATCCTTAAACTCAAGTCTCATCCCATTTCTAAATTTAGTTCTGTTTAAAAAAAATTTTTAATTTTAAATTGTGATACTAAGAAATTTTCATGGGCGGTTGTCAGTTTACCTTCATTTCAATGGTTGACAAAATTCGGGCTTGTGACTGACGTGGCAGAGCTGTCGATTGGCGGCTTGCCAATGATGGCTTGCTATTACTTCTCTTCCTCTCTCCGTAATTCCTAAATTTCAATTTTCTTCAATATCTTAAGTTTCTCAATCTCATTTCAGAGAATATTGTTTTGTGAGCGGTAGAAGTCACGACGTCATGACGTCATTAGTCGAAAGTTTAATGTGCTCTTTATTAATTATTAAATTAATCTTTTTTTCGTTGTTTCTGACTCTTTCATTGTCACTTATTAGTTTTTAAATACTATTAGCTTAGTAAGTAATTATGTATTAATGCAAAAATAAAAGTTAATTTTGTTCTATTCAGTTAAATCTTATAATACATACATGTAGATTCATGAAGAAGAATATGTTCAAATTTATTAATGATAAGAATTGATTGGGCATATGTGATCTCTGTTAGATTATTATAACATTAATTATGATGTAATATGATAAATGATCATTGTGTCATGATCCGACATTAGGAAGATTTAACTAGAAAGTTATCGGAGTAAAGTATATACGTTCAAATTGTACTTTAAAGTTTTCTTGGTATAGCAGTTTTTATGTAAATTTACAGGATGCCAAGAATAGAATATGAGCAAAAATTGGATTTCAAAGATGTTCTTTTGCGGCCGAAACGATCCACACTAAAGAGTCGAGCGGATGTTGACCTTGTTCGTGAGTAAGTCTTTAACTTACTACTGTATATATATTCCTGTTGACAATATTTTGTTGTACAAATGCTATGATTTCCATTAATCTATTTTCTTTTATCATTGCATAAATCGTTTTGGCATTAGTTTCGTTCCTAGCAACAATTATCGCTTTCTCGTTAATTTTATCGATAAATGGCTAATTTGGCATGATTGTGTATAAGTTTTATAAGTTATACTCCATACTCATCATTATATATCATAAAATTTCTTTAGCATCATAAGACACTTCAACTGATAGCGAATAGTAATAATGAAATGGTTACAAATATAATTTAAATTATGCTTTTCGTGGTGTTACTTTCTTACCTGTCTTAATTTCTTACATTCGAAAATCAGTCCATTGAAGAAATTGATGATATTATTGTACTGTAATAAAATTTTTCTTAGATTTACATTTCGGAACTCGAAAAAGCAATATGTTGGCATACCTGTTGTTGCATCGAACATGGACACTGTTGGAACATTTGAAATGGCAGAAGCTCTTTCCAAAAAAAAGCTTTTTACATTTATACATAAGCACTATACAGTTGAACAATGGATTGAATTTGCTAACAGGATAGGTTCGGATCAGGATGTACGTTGTATTTCTTTATTTCTTCATTTATGCTTCCCTTTTAATTTTATGGTCCTATTTTTTGGATGCATTTAAGAGTAGTTTAAGACAGTATTTGCCGACCCTTTCTTTTCTAAGACAAAAAATTTTTTTCTTTTCTAGAAGGATGAAATGAAGTATTTAAAATATTGTTTAGACATTAACACAAATTGGTATTTCTTCTGGAATATCTGATTGTGATTTTGCAAAATTGAGAAAAATTTGTGGATTAATACCCGATCTTCAATTCATTTGCCTTGATGTTGCAAATGGTTATTCGGAAATGTTTGTGGATTCTATACGACGAGTTCGTGAAGAATTTCCTCGGCACGCAATAGTTGCCGGGAATGTGGTGACAGGCGAAATGACTGAGGAATTGATTCTATCAGGGGCTGATGTTGTGAAGGTTTGTTTGAATCAAATTTCACGATTTGAATGGGTCAAGGAAATAATCTTCAAATAATTCATTGTTAATTTTAAAAGTTAAATCTTGATCTTTTCTTTCTTTCGGGATGTCGCTATATTTTTGTAAGATTATTGGCTATTGTCCATTTTTTAAGAGAGCTATTTCTTTGTTATACTTTTAATAGGCTTTTTAGGTAGGCTTAGGTCCTGGTTCAGTTTGTACGACACGGAAGAAAACTGGAGTTGGTTATCCACAACTAAGTGCTGTGCTGGAATGTGCTGATGCTTCACATGGTTTGAACGGACATGTGATGAGCGATGGAGGATGCACAAATCCTGGGGATGTTGTGAAAGCATTTGGTGCCGGCGCTGATTTTGTGATGATTGGAGGTGCTGGAGATTTCTCTTTCTTACCGTATGGCTCTTAATATTATCTACATTTATACGAAAGGAAAAAGAAAAAAGGAGGCTACCCTCGTTTGGGATCTATCATGTCGGAATGGCGTATTCAGTTAGTCCCTGTTTTATTTGTAGGTCTTTTTGCGGGACATGACCAATGTGGTGGTAGTGTTGTTGTGAAAGACGGACGTAAATACAAATTGTTCTACGGAATGGCTTCTGATACAGCGATGAAAAAATACCAAGGAAGCGTCGCAGAATATCGCGCTTCGGAAGGCAGGACAGTAACCATTCCATACAGGCGAGTGTTTCTTTTGTAGAAATTACTTGCCAGTACATAAAATTCAAAATTAATGTTGTTTTGCAGAGGTGATGTTTCGGAAACAGTACAGGATCTTCTAGGTGGACTACGATCAGCTTGCACATATACCGGTGCAAAGAAATTAAAGGAGCTTCCGAAACGGGCAACTTTCATTCGTGTCACACAGCAAATAAATGAACAGTATGCAAGATTTGAAGTATCTGGATCAGAATTACAAAAATTAGAGATTTGATTCAGGTTCTTTGAACACTTTTATTCATCATAACTTTAGCTGTACGGGATCATGTAGTTATTCCTTATTTTGATGTTTAGCGATGATTAGAGTTTCACTTTAAAAAAATTCCAGTTTTGTTTTCATGTACTTCAAGTGTTTTATTAAGAAGAATGTTTTTCCATTTCAGTAAAGTTGTTTCAAAGCTAAGCATAATTTAAGGAAAAAGTTTTTTTGGTGCCCACTGCTCTGTTTGTGAACTTTCAGGCATTCAATTCAGAATCCTCTTCAATTCACACGACTTTCGTATTTCAATGTATGAAAAGTGTTAACGTCAGCAACACCCTAAATAATAGTTGCTATATCAGAATAGTTTTACCTTTTGTGTGATTAAGTTTTCTACCGGTGCCTCCAACTGAATGCGTCGCCTTTTTGATTTTTATATTTTTTATTTATTACGATTTTTTCTATAGATACACATTTTAGAACTTTTCGACTCCATTTTCCACAAGATATGTATTCTAATATATTTTCTGAATCTAACGGCATTCTGTAGAAGTGCAGTGGCACACCGCTTTAACCTTATTTTGATTCTTAGCGATGGTTGGAATTTCATTTAAAAAAATCCAGTTTTGTTTCCATGTGCTTTGGTGTTCACTATTCTATTTACTACCCTTCAAGCATCCAATTCACGCGACACCCTTATCATAGGCTATAAAAAGTGTTAACATTTAAATGCAGCTTTTTAAATATTAGAACAATTCTACTTTCCATAAAAGTTTTTCCCGGTGAATGTGTCACATTTTTGATTTTTATATATTTATTATCAAGTTTTTTTTTCGACAGACACACATTTTGGAACTTTTCGATTCCATTTTCCAGAAGATATGCATTCGAGTACATTTTCGGAATCTAGACGGTATTCTGGAGAAGTACAGTAGTACACCACTTTTTCTCCAACGAGATGATAGGGTTTAGCTGGTGATGTGCTATCTCCTTGTTCAGGTTTCCCAGGAAAAGGGCAGACTGGTATACCTAAAAATACAGTCATCTTTTTTAGCTAGTCGTAAATCGTTGTTTTTTATCACATTTCATCATGATTTATGACATTTCTTCTATGACTGACCACCTCCATGAAGTGCCAAGGAGATAATTATTTGTTAGAATTTCAATGGAAAGACCGCTTTTTGATTGAACTTGATCTCCAAAACATACATTTTACGTCGATAGGAGTCCAGTTTCCATTTGCTTGGCATACGCTGTAATCGATACCAGTTAACATGTAACCACGTTTACATTCAAATACAACCACTTCCCGTACATTGTATTCATTCTTCAGCTCTCCAACTATTGCACCATTCCTTGGCACTTTCGGTGTTTGACATTTCACACCTTAAAATGAAGTAAAGTTAAATTGATAATGAAGGATGGATGATATCAATAAATTAGGCTATCAAATGAATTTATAAAAATTAAAAACTTACTCTTGCACTGCGGTACAATTCCTGACCACTCCCCATTTGGAAGACATTGTAATGTCCGATTCCCATCCAGAAAATGTGTTAATGAACAAGAAAAGCGCGCAGTACCTCCAGCCCTGAACGTTGTAACAACCGCTTTCATTTCGAAATCTGTGATCACCAATGGTGGACACTGCAATGCTACAAAAAATGCTGTGCGAAGATTCATGGCGTTTAAATTATATGGCGGTCTTTTATTAAAAGAAAATTGATATCACGCAGATAAAAACAATGACTGCCTGCAATAAGCGTTCTTCGAAAATTTTAAGGGTAATATTTATTAACATTGTTCGCAGTGCATTTCGCTCGCGACACATCTGATAACTTCATGTTTTGGACTTGTGAAATAGAAGTACGCGGTTAAGTTTCTCAAATTGTTACTATCAAAGTTCAGCCGTACCTCGACATTTTGGTAAGGTACGAGACCATTTCCCGGAGCTTAGACACGTCGATGAACGTGGCCCTTCAACATAAAAACCACTCCCACATGAAAATTGTGCAAGTGTTCCAACAAATAAATGAGGGCTTGTGTAGGAAATTCGTAGATGTGTTGTATTTATAAATGATGCACATTTCTGATCTGTAATAAAATATTCTGATTATAAATATGAATTTTTATGTGTGCGAAACTTTTATTTCTTTTTGTGTTCAAAGATACTGAAGCCAAATATTAACCCTTCACAATGATTTTGACAGTATTTCGGTGTCCACTTGGAAGAACACAATGGAAAAATCCTCCATCTTCAGGACGTGCTGCTGTTACAGTCAACTACAAAAAATGACTATTATTACTTTGAAGACAGTTGAAGCTTTGTGTCGGAATTAAAGACAGCTGAAAGCTTTCTTGAAAATGATGGTAAGAATTACTTCGTACGCATTCGTGCCGGATTTTCCAGACAAATCGATTTCAACCCACGATTGTGGATACTTACGATATGTTGTAGAAACTTCCCATCTGGGTTGCCCTTTTTTTCGAGGAAATAAACACTGAAGTCGAAACGTCGCTGATATGTTCACTATAAGATGTCCTCGCGGTGTTACGGTGTGCAAGCTTCGTTCTAATTCCAACTTTATTGGTGGCGCGCCATCTGACGGAATCAAAATTCAGAATTTTATTATACAGCTGGTAACTGGAGTCCTTGTAAATTCATACAAAATAGAAGATAACGATACCTAAACAATCGTAACATGTGTAATGGGAAGCAAATAGCATAGTAAATAAACATAAAAATATGATGGGTAGTGCAAATCTCTGTAAAAATAGCTTTCTCACAAAACGCTCAGTCTTTTATTAACAAACATGCGTTTAAGGTCAAAGTATTGCCAACCGTTTTCGTTAAATGGATCCAATGTGATACATTTGGGTATTTTCGGTACCCATGTGCCTCCTTTGCATGTGGTAACAGCGTTCCCCATAAACTGTTGCATACCATATTGTTGACATGAGAAAATTAACTCCGTACCATCTATAAATCATTAAGATTATAATAATTGGCAGGAAACTTATTAAAAAATGAGACTTCCGAAAGAACGATAAAGCAATGAGAATTTAACACAGAATCCCTGAAATCCTGAAAGCATTCAGAGAACTTACCAGAAAATCGCTGATTAAAAGTGATCTGTTGTCTATATTTGGCAGAAAAAGCAATTAAATGTGATCTCTCATTCATCCGATATTCACATGAATGTACATCTGTAATTGTTCATAATGGAATTTGATACGGTCAAACATAAATTAATCCAACTTTAAGTTTGGTAATAAATGAGCAATAATTTCGGGAATAGCTAACAGTACACGAGAATATAAAAAAGTCATTCTTAAAATTGAAATGCTTCATTAGGATGATGCTTCACATTCTATGAATGTGAAATATTTCATATGTAATTATTCTAAGAATATTACAAAAATTTAGTAAGGCGCATCTCATACTATCTATGTTCTAGCTTCATAAAAAAGTTTGCCGTTGGCATCATTAAATCATTTCAGTGAATCTGCCCTGGTTAGAGACTGTTACAACATAGGCTACAGCGGATAATCAACGGTTTCATAATTTCTTAAATATGTCATTCCAGAAGTTTCATGAAAGGTTTTATGTCGATGTGTATAGATATTAGCAATGTTAAAACGAATTTGTCTGGAGCTGAAACCTTGCCAGTATACTCTGCAACAATTTTCTGACCTGAATGGCAATGCAGCATACCAGCAGTGACCCATTTGCCTTTACGACAATGCATTTCCATTGTTTTGGCTTCTTCTATTAAAAATCCCACAGCACATCCTATCTGAACTTTATTGCAAAGTTTTTGGAAGTAAAAAATTTGGAACTGTTCATCAAAACCATTTCGCTTAAAACAGCAATTCTAAGCACTTGATAAATGTTAGAAAAATGGCAAAAACATTAATAAATCAAGCTTTTACACTACTGAGGAATCGATGTTAAAAAATCCGAACCCGGAAATTTATATTGAGAAATATCTATCCTTCATATAATTTTACAAATTCTTTTAAAAATTAGAAAAACCTTTAAAGTAGTTCCGCGAGCAAAGCGTGACTTTGTTGAAACATGAGCATTTTTGATATTAAGAATTTTGTAAGGGGAAGCAAGGTTAGGCATGTTGCACATTCCGTCAGGTTGCGTAGCAAATGTAGCTGCAGATGCATCTACTGCAAACAGCAGTACTTGTTATTTAAATCAATTAAGTACAATTCAAGAGGTAAAAGCCGATTGATACGAAAGTTTCAGGAAAAAACTTTTTTTTTCTTTAGGAAAAAACTTTTTTTTTCTTTAGGAAAAAACTTTAGGAAAAACTACTTTTCAAATCTGCCCATTCTTCTAAATTTTATAAATTCAAATAGATAAATACAGAAAATTACCAGAGGTTCCTCCAGATCCAATTTTTTCCTAATTGAATAAAACTGAAGTGTTAAACACGCATATCACAAGTCAATAAATATTACTTTAAGACTATAATCAGGGATTACTTCCTCCTGCTAATATTTCTCATATTAGACGTGGCTGACAGAGGTAGATTTCTGCGGTGTAAAAGACGACTCTATTAAACAGTGGTGAAACCCTGCGAGAGCTGAATACCAAAAGTTTAAAGAAGGCCCAGAATTTAGTGAGTGGATTATGAAAATTCTAACTACTATAATGGATTTAATCGGTAAGTAAATGTATATGGTATCGAGCAAATATTTGCATTACAATGTAAAATGTTACCCCAGCAAGCAGATATTTGGATTCCGGCAGCTTTGGCAATCCCACTCTTTCCTCAATATTATCACTTGCAAAAGTCCAAGTACTGTAATGTACAGCCTGAGTAGAAGTAATTTAAATTTAACAAGATCAAAGATTTCTAGAATTACCACAGGGTAGAAGACGCGTGAACCATTCACCACTTCGACATTCGATGGCATTAGCTTTATTTTTATATTCATTGTTGACACAGATATACTGAATTATGGTATTTCTCGGAAAAGTGGTCTGTTGTACGCTCATATCTAGGCGAACCGGATGACCACTGATATTTGTTGTACGGTATGCAACAAACGGCTGACCATCATTGGGACGATGACATGATGCAGATGGTGAATCTGAAGATTTGAAAATTATCCAACAATTTTACGCTACAAGTAATGAGAAGTGTCAGGAGTGGCCAATAATATCCAAACTGTTTTTGATATTAAACATCACAAACATTTTTTTTTTTTTGGTATATTAAAGAATCTTTTCTTGAATTATCAATCTAAAGCTAAGTCACTTTTAACTTCATAATTCCAATCAGTTGCAAAAAGATAATTTACAACCTACTTCTGAACGGAATTAAATGAATTTAAGTAAGAAAACAAGGAAATACAAATCTAATTACTGTCGAAGAAAACCAACCATTTCCGGTGCACCCGAAACTTGGCTGTATTTCACCAAAGCGACATTTTAACCGTATGACGTTCGTTTCACATATCATATCAATTTCTTCATTATGATGTAGTTCTGTCTTATTAGAGCTGTATCTGTTTCCTTCACCTGTTTCCAGCTTACAGTGTTCTGTAGAAAAAACTAATCCATCGAAATATTACTGCTTACTCGTTTTACTACTGACCTATTTTTTGTTTCATATTAATCAATTACAAAACCAGACAAGAATAAAAATAAAAGTCATACTTGGCCTGCAATACCCGATCTGCTGAATAAAGACTCCTTTATTGCACTCAAATTTATCATTTCCATGCAGCTCATAACCACGCAAACAAACCATCTTTGCCCCACTGCCGTGCTGCACAAGATCACCTGATTGCAAGATTCGCTCTGACCGTATGCCAAGGAAAAAGACGTGATTACGTATCGGTATCCGACAATCATCTATAAAATCACATACGAATTTTAAAAGTTTTCCTATCAAATTTCTATTACTCGTTAAATACCAAGTAACAATGGAATTAATTTACGCTTGAATACATGTGAAAAAAATATAAAACTTACTAGGAATACAATCAGGAACTTCTGGCATCCATCGTCCATTTTTACAAAATGCAATTCCATCTGCCCTTGCTTTTTCGAAATGAAAACCTTCGGAACATATTACCTAAATGGTACTCGATAATTCAATGTAACAAAATTAATAGAAACTTTGCTCGATTTCAATTTACCTTTTTCATGTATGTGAAAGAAAAAAGTTCAAGAGTAAAGTTTCCGGATTTTTTCGCAAATGAAATGAACTGAAAAAACAGAACAAAACAGAATATTGGAATTACGATAAAATGAAAGAAAGTGTCAGAAGACGAAACGAACCATAATTTCAGTTGGATTGTCATTACCTTTCGTGACAATAATTTTCCGATTATAATCAACTAAAATTGGTTCACAGTCAACAGAACGCCGACGTCGCATCCAAGCAATCTGTCCTTCCACCATTGGATGAGTTTGTGATACACATTTTGGTTTCTTCCGTGGCATCCAGTTTCCATTGACACATGTTGCCTATATAGGAAAACTCTAAGGTGGTAATAACTTCAAGTGAAAATTGACAAATTTTAGTCGTTTAGGAAATTTAATCTGCACTAATTTTGTATTGAAATTTATAATAGACATGATAAAAAAGCAGTCACACTATGAATACGAAGCAGTAAAAAAAACTACTTTTGGTGATCCGAGCAACACAAATCCTTTTTTACATTGAAATAAAATCGAACGACCTTCTTCCACTTCCGATATATATTGTGCATAGTCGTAAGCCCCCATTTGTCCTTCTAGCATTATCTGTCCACCTTCCAAGACCCCAAACGTTTTAAGAGGATGTTCACAAAGAACTTAAACGATACAAATTATATTTTACAAAAACAAATCAGCTTATTTATCCTGTATAATGAACACTTTGACTCTTTTTTTCAGAGCAAATCGGTAAGGCGAAGCGTTATGTAGCTTAAAAATTATCATGTATTGCACGCAAAAGAATACAAATCAGTGCTATGAAAAGCTGCTAAACATGCTAAACCTCATAGCCAATCCTCTAGTTTTTACAGTAATGTCAGCAATCTAATTTTTCTAGTAAAGCTAATTGAAATTAAGGACAGCTGGAATCTAATTCGATTAAACCAAATTATTGCAATGGACAGTTCAGCTGCAGCAATTCAGTTTTTGAGGGTTGAAAAAGATGATTAAACTAATCCATTCTGTAAGTTTCGAACAAAAGAGTATAAAAAATAGTAATAAAAATACCTGGTCGACAAGAAAATGGTTGATCCTCACTGGACCACTTTCCATACAAACATTTAACAGTATTATGTACGCTTGATGGCCGATAGCCCTCATTGCATTCATATCGCGCAAATGCTCCATGCGACGATTTTGTAAATACAACTTTGGCATTTGGCATTCTTGGTGGCCAGGATTTGCATCGCACTTGAACAAAAGCATTTTACAAAAATAATTTAAATCAACTACATTAATTCCCCATTGTTTGTTAACATATTTATATCAAAGAATTATGTTAAGCGGTTTTTCAAGTATAAAATCACATAGCCATGACAACGCACTTTCTAGGAGCAAAAAAAAAGTATGTGAGAAAAAGAAGCATGATAGTTTTCTTTAGTAAAATAAAGACCTGGTATGCAAGTTGGTATATGTGACCAAGTACCATTTCGACAAACTATAGTCGCTTCTACCTCAGCTATTTCATGTTTTGACACACACTCTACTTTCAATCTTTCTCCGTGTAAAGCAAGCTGTGAAGGCATATGATTAACAACATACCCATCGCTTATTTCAGGTATGTGACACCCACCTAAATTTTGAAAAGTATCGACCATGGTTTTCAAATAAGAAAAACAATTACTCAGTTAAACTCAAACGATTTTTTATGATTAGGAAGTTTAATTAAATGTGATACAAGACAATGCTTTCATTAATCGTACGACCACTAGCAAAATGTCGTACTGAGTGGTAGCACAGCCCGATATTCAAATGATGAAAAATGCATTAAAGATAGAACAAATTATCGCTTTTCTCAAGTTATAATATATAAAATAGGGATGGGAAATGAGACATAATATATTTAAAATTAATTACATTAAAAAGCATTGATTATATTAAAAAAAAGACACTTAAACAAATAGGCATTGGATGTGACCATCGTGCATCGTCTTCACATTTTGCATAAGGTGCCCCAATATGATTCATTCCTTCTAAGCAACGGAACACAACAACTGCTCCAAAATGGGTGTCATCACCTTCGATGTATCCATTGTGTAATTGGGGTAATGGTGGACAACGAATTTCTCAAATAAATTTTGTGAATCAGATTAATTAACTTATGCTTTAAATGACATTATTCACTTATTTAGTTCCTTTTACATTTTTGTGGAATGTTAAGCTACTTCCTTTTAAACCTGTTTTCATTGTCCAATATTTTTGAAACTAGAAAAAGCCCCTTAACTGACCTTCACAAGTTGGTTCATTACCGGCCCAAACACCTTCGGCAAGACATATCCTCTGCACCTGGCCAACAAGTCGGTAGCCTGTTTTGCATGAATAGGTGACACGAGATTGATAAGTCAATGAACTACCAAGTACTTTGCCATGCAATGGATCCGACGGTCTTTTACATTCCGTTGCTGAAAAACTAAATGTACCAAAAAAAAATTATCAAAATGATAATAAATTTCATTGTGGTCTTGTTATAGTTAGATAATGTCTACAAAAAGAAACTAATTCTAAATTCAAAAACATACGTTTGCACTGAGGTAGTTGAGCATTCCACTGTCCGCTGCTCAAGCAACGAAGCGTTGATGATCCAATGAGCTGATAACCAGGAAGACATATTATTTCAACTGTATGTGGATAATAGTACAATTCACCTTTCCGCATCCCATTCATGATATTTCCCGGATCGGGACAGCTGCGAGCTGTATATTATATAGATAATAGCGCATAAAATATCATCAGCTATCTAAGCCTAAATCTTACAAAAAAAAAAGTAGAACAGCGATATTGTAAGAATTAAAGTACAATAGTTTAAAAGTTTAGAAGTAAAACCAGTTAAAAATAGAATATAGACCTTGACATCGTATGTCGGGACCAAACCACTGTGCTACTTTTTCCCGATTCAATAAACACTTTGCTATCATTATTCCTTTGTTATTATAACGATGATAACCAGGTACGCAATTGTAATGCACTTCAGTTTCTAGTTCATACTGACCGCTATACGAATTGCCATCATGTTGAGCATAAGGTATTTCTGGTGGTGGACCGCACTTTTCTACAATTGCCCTTACTTTATAAATCCAATCCGAAAATTAAACACTTTTTGCATTTTTACCATCCTTTAAATCTTTCCTCCTCAATTTCATGTCTAAAGGTACCGAAAAATTCCATTATTATCTAATCGAGGATAGAAATGAAAAACTTTCCATTATTAAATAAATTAGCAACAGTAACATTATCTATCGATTAGTCAACCAATACAAAACAACATATTGCTCACTTAGTAATCTGCACTCAGGTTTAGTACCACTCCATTCACGATTTGCTTGACAACGCCGCTGTGATGGACCAACTAATACATATCCCTCATTACAACCATATTCTGCATTCGAACCAAATAAAAAATCGCCAGGTGTTCTGATGAAACCGTTCGGTAGATCAACTAATGGATGACAAGTTGTTGCTGAAACTTTTCATACCTTAATCTTTGAAGATAAATTATTGGTTCATGAAATAATATTTGAGTCAGTTAAAATTCAAAATATCTTTTAACACTATAGGATTAAGTATTAATTAAATAACTGAAAAATATTTAACTTTCAAAAAAAGAACGATTCATTTAACAGTATCAAAAAGGTCACGTAATAAATGCATAAAATGATGTATAAAAAAATGAATAAAGAAATAGAAAGATTAAAAATAGTTAATATAGAATAAAAGAAGAGGATATACTTACATGGGTTGACGCATGACAAGCCACAAGGACCATCGCAAAGACATCTTTTATTGCTTTTCTTGCATTGATCATCTCTTGCACATGCTTTCTTGCAATAATTCGGACGATTGGAAGCACTTACATCAGGGCATATTGTTGTTGGAGAACAATAAATCAAACTCATTAATGGAAATAATAAAATTAGTAGTAACAGTAATGGTAATGTAAACATTGAAAAGATAATGAGAGATCATGAAATAGCTCCTGAAAAATAAGTTATCAATTATAATAACGAATGACAAATTATATTTTAAGCTAATAATTCGCTTTAATATCAGAGAAGTAATCGTCGGCGATACCAGAGATTTATTTCACATTGTAGCGAAAATGAACAACACTCATTTATATAATAAGGAAAGGAAGACAGCATTATGAGAGAAGAATGATGATATGAAATATTTAGGAAGTTTAATGATATTAGATAGCTCTTTATAGAGTGATCAATTCGATCCGTTTGCTATCTGATAATAATGAGAAAACTATCCATTTGTTGTCTGAATAGTTACAATAAATTTATCAAATGCTTATTTGATTTTTGAAAAATATAAGACCGAGCAAGAAAAGTTTTATCAATAGAGCTGGTAATTCTTCTTTGTTACAGCTATGAAAATATTTTCTCATTAAAAAAATGAGAAAATATATATATATAATCATTATTGCTTATATTTTACATTGCTTTTTATCTTTTTCAAGAAGATCAATCGAACATTTTAAGGTCAAATGACAATTAGATATTTCTAAATATCATAAAATTACTTAGCATTTCTAAAAAAAATCTTGCTCAGCACACGGTCTTCTTGATTCTTTCTCAAGTTTTGATAATATCTCACAAATATCATACAATATCGAATTTGCTACATATAAAAAATTCCTCTTGAAATTTCTTAAATTTCATAAAGTTCCTATGTTTGACAAAAATATCTTTCAAAATTGTCACACCAAGCTTCTAAAGTTATCCGGTCAAGCTTTTAAAGTTAAAATCTGTCAGAGCATTCTTTTGAATGTTAGCTCAAAACATATATGGAGGATGACTAATTGAAAAGCTGATATAAACTTTATAAGAGGTGACATAAAAGATGAAATATTTTGATGCGCAGATGAATTTTCAGGTAATATTATAATAATATTGAAGAACACTCGAAATTAAACCGATTACATTTGTTCTAAGTGAAATCCAATACATTTAACTAATTAGAGAAGTAGAACTCAATGGAAGGAAGAAGTAAAACAAAAGTAAGCAGAGAAGATTGTTAAGAGATAAGCTGTTATCGCAATGGTGTGATCAGTATACAGCTGTTATCATCGAGAATGTTCGATTGTATTCCGCCTAGAGCTGCTGTCTGTTAAATAGCATTTCTCATCTCATCTCTTAATTTAAGGATGTAATTAAATTTTGCTATGGCAGTTAATATTAGCAATATTATTTTTAGACTTTTAGGATAGATTTTATTTTAAGAAATGACTTCCATATATGTTGGCATACTTAATACATCAAAATATTGATGACTTCGAGATTTCTTTGCTAATTTAAAATGTTTCAAGTAAATTCTAATAAAAAAACACAACGGAGTTAGTTTCTGTTAGGTTCAGATGCAGGTAAATTATAAGATGTGAAGTTAGCTTAGGATGTCTGAAAAAGTGTTTTACACGTTGAAAATATTTTTTTTTCGATAGAAATCGCCTGGGGCAAATATCATTCGGAAATACCACATTCCGCCTTCAAATATTTATTCAGCTGATTTTGCAGAATTTAAAGCAATTTTGAAAATTAGATAAAGTATTTTAGAAAGTCGGTTTGAATTAGATGTGTCTTATAAGTTTGAAGCAGATGAGAAGACTATCTGTAATCATAAAAGCTTTTTTTCGTTTCTTGAAAGAAAAGCTTTTATGATTGCAAATGTTCGGACTAAGGTCAAATGAAGAAGTTATAGATATGCGAAAAAAATCAGATCAAATGACTGTTGTTGAAATCTGTACAATTTACTTAATAATATTTGTATTGTCACGAAGTAAGTTCACTTCCATGAAACTTAAAGTTAATATCCCAAATGATAAACATAATGAAGAAATAAATGAAGCTCGAAAAGCAAATTCTGTTGCTTAAACACTAAATATATCTTCATCATAATGGAAGTTCTAATTGTATCTCTGATGGACAGTGGCAGTGCGAAGTGAAGTTAAACTCTTGGCTTACTTGAAGTTCACGTAAATATGTCATGGAAGGCAGAAATAGCCGTAACGATCGTTGCTACTCAGAGAATCTATTTTGTCTAAGTAAAAGAAAGTGAAGAATGAGTGCAATCATGACACTTTCAAGACAACTAAAATATAAAAAAGTATGATTTATCTGTACTTTCTCAATCCATTTTGCAAAAATATTTGTGTAAAATTCTTGGAAACAATAATCAATATGAAATTGATGAGGAATACAAGTATCTGTAATAATCCATGTTAATAATAAGCATAATTATCGCAAGCTATTGAAGTTATCCATCTTTTTTGATCAGTGAATCAATTAGTTATAAAATTAGATTCTATTGATTTTCGTAGGAATCTTTTCTTTTTTATTTTACACTTCTTCATTTTTCATTTGTTATCATATTATATTTTTTAACATCTTTTTCATTTGAAAAAAAATTTTTACATAAATTTTGTTTTAATCGAAATTGAAATTTGGATGAACAATTTCACACATTCCAAAACGTTAAGAAGCAAGTAAAATATTTAAACTTTGCTTGAATTGCAAGAGGAACAGATCGTTCTCGATTTCATTCAACAAAGCGTCGTCAATATTCCCAAAAATCTGTACTTTCTGGACGTTCCTATCCATCTCTCAAACTTCACTTCTTTCATCCTTCGTTTTCCTAACACTTTCTATGCATTATTGATTTCATCATATTCTTTGAATATGAACGATTTCACAGCGAAATCTCTCTATCAGTCATTTGAAATTAAGGCCGGTTATTGATTGATGCGTGAGGAGAGTGTTGGAATAGGCGTATTGGTTTATCCGTCATTATTATGAAGTATATTTATCCCAATTACTTATTATTACTAGCTTTTTTTCTGAAATTTTCAGTGAATAAATGCTCGCTATACGTTTTATCAGTAGAAGTTATTGCACGAACCATCAATTGTTGTTCTCTGTTTTCAAAGAACAGCTGGACAATTACATCTTTCATCAAAGGGCACTTAATTATCAACATCAACAATAACACAAATTTTAAGGTCTGTGCATAAAACTCGAATTCATCGTTTCACTCCCTCTTCATCTTCCATCATCCTCACATTCACCTGTCCTCTCATCTTTCTTTGCCCTTTATTTGCAGCTGTCAGCAGCCGATATTAACGAATTAGATAGTCTGATATGCTAGGCCAAATATCGGTGATGGATTGCACATTTATTATAAGTAAGGTTATTTTAAAAACATTTAATATGTGGATCAAGTAGGTAAAGGGTGATTATTTATGTCACAGTTTCGCTATCAGATAATTAAGTGTATGAGTCAATCATTTAATATTTAGGTTTACAATTTCTTTACACTGTTCTTTATTCGTCTATTTCTCAATTGTTTTTGTTGTTTAAAGGCTATTGTTGTTCACACGATACACGATGTTTATGTCTGTTTGTTTATGTCTGTTTCATCATTTTCTGTATTAGTTTATATTAAAAACAACACTACTCCAGATTTCTATGGGATGAATTACTTGCAGAAATACAAGTATGATGTATACTAGTGCTTCTGTTCAATGATAAAATCGTATTGAAGCATCGGTTTTGCAAGGAAGAATTCGAGAAAGCTCTAGCCTGCATATTGCAGTACCAGATGTGTGCATTTGTGGCTGCACATGCTGGTGCTGGGACGCATCCACATAAGACGGAGGATGTTTGCCTAAAAGCAGTATGCAAATCGAAAGGAGACATTGTTGAAGCCGTTAAGGTATGCATCTTTACATTTACTCTATTTTGAATTATTTTTGAGAGCTTTTTACTGATGAAATAATAATCTAGGATAGTATTGAAGTATCTGGGGCACATGGCTGACTGTTGGTTTTAATTAGTTTAACGATTTCATGCGTACATATTAATTTTCAGGAACTTGAGAATGACTTTAGGACAAATTGCAGTTTTGGTTCAAATCTAACATTTGATGGACATGTGGAATGCGAAGCAGCTTTTACATCTTCCAAAGGTAAAATTTATATAAAATGTCATAATCCTTGAAATCTTTTTAAGTTTACTTGAAACGAACTGGGATACACTAAATTTTAAAGTTTTATTATTATTTTTTATTTGTATGGTTCCAGTCAGACTTTTACATAGCTTCTATTTAATCACGTTCAATACTTAAATATGAAATATTTGAGGATATTCTAGCTTTAAGTCTTTAAATCAAGTACTATGTGTGCAAATTTCCTTAATACACTCCTGTTTAGGTCATGTGTTTGGTGCCGTTGGAATGGTATCTCGGCTGCGAAATCCTATTGAGGTTGCTGCAATGGTTGCCAAAGGTTAAATTTTCTTTCAAGCAGTTTTATTAAACTGGAATATTGAATTTTGCTTGTTTTTTTATAGTCATTCATTTTGTGACTTCTCAACTGCAAACTTCAGTAGAATTTTCGATGGAAGCTTTTGTGGCTAAGTTTTCAGAACTGTTATTTCAGAACAGTTGTGTGACAACAAGAAATTTGTTCTGCCAACTGTATTGGTAGGTCGAGGTGCTGAAGACTGGGCTCAAAAGCGTGGGATTGAACTTTGTGATCCAGCATCACTAATATCAAAGAGGTCACAGCAACAATGGCGAGAAGCTCGAGAAATTGTTAAGAGCTGGGAAAAGGAGACGATGGATACCGTAGGCGCTGTATCGGTAATAACTCTAAGTTCCCTATGATTCTATGATTTAAATAGGTCGAAGTCTTCAATTACAATTTTATAGTTGCAGTCAATTGCAACCTATGAAATTTGTTTCACTTATTTCCTTCAGTATGAAAGTGGTGGTTGTAATGCGGCATGCTCAAGTGGTGGAATGATATTGAAAGCCGAAGGGCGACTAGGTCATACAATTCAAATTGGTGGCGCTATTTGGGCGGATCAGAAGGATTCCAAGAGCGTTGCAGTTGCACTGTCTGGCTGTGGTGAATACATCGGTCAAACGCTATTAGCAAAGACTCTTGCTGAGACTTTACTCAGTTGGTAAATATTTTGTTACGACAAAAACTTATTCCAATCTATATCTTATTATCTGAAAATATAGGGTTATGCTTCTTTTTCTTATATCGAAGCAGTTTAGAGGCAAATATTCTGCTGCAACTACTGAAAATTCCAATATTAGGAAAGTGCTCATAAGTTGTTTATATTAACTTAAGTTTTTTTGTAAATTAGTGGAGTTGTTTTTAGGAAGTGTGAAGACGATATGATTCTGGATAAAATCAAACATGTTTTCAATACCACATTTCTACATTCTCCTTATCTACAAACTCGAAATAAAAGGCACATTCTTGCTGGTGGGTTGGTGCTGTTTGTCGACAGAGGTATGTGAGTGATTCAAATATCGCCATAAAATGAAATCAGTTTGTCGTAGACCGCTTGAATCTTATTATTGACGACACAGAGAGCGTAAATCTGAATACTTCTAGTCGAGTTTAGGTACACTAATGGGGGAAATTAACGAAAATGTACTGTTCCTGAACGCGCTTGTAAAAATGTGTAAAGCTGTATTGTTCTATATGTTTTATGCATCAGGAATAATCTGAGTGTCTAAGTATCTTCTGATTCATTTAGTCTTTAATATCTCCAACATTGTAAATGGAGAGTTCGGATTTTCGTGACAATCTGATTTTTCTTGAGATTTTTGACCCTCTCTGAAATCAGATACTGCAACAGGAGCTGAGTCTATAAGATTGCTGAAGCTTTTTTTCGTTGTTCTGGTCCTTTCTAAATGCCATCTGCTGGTTATGGACGAGTTCATGTACCAGCTTGTAAAAAGTGTGTAAAAATAACACCTCCCGTAATCTGCAGAATTAAAATTGCCCTATAGTTGGAGTTTTATCTCCTTCAGGACGGTTTTACGGCGTTTTATAACGAGAATGTCTTGCTCTGATGTCATCTTCATCATCCAAAAAAATCCGATCTTTGCAACCATCTTCATAATGTAGTAGATCGTAGAGTAAGGCTTGGGCTGGTTCGGTTTTTCAGTGAAATGCAGTTCAAAGAATGATTGAGAGAAGGCAGTACAGGCATTTTATTTCAGAAAGCGGGTGCGCAGAACTTGTTTCATTTCACAATACAGCGGAATTGACTTTTGCGTTTTTTGGAAATGGAACTGGAATGAAGTACCGTTCTCATTCGGTTTCCGATGATTTTATTGCACATTCTTTTTCTTTGAGAGATTACATCAACCTTTGCTGATCTTTTTGTTGAATTTTAAGTTGTTAATGCGAGATTGAGATTATTTCTTTATTGTGATTGTTTTATTATATTGTCAAAACTATTAATTTGAAATAAAATATTCAATTTTGTGGTCATATTTGTCTTCTTCAACGGTTTTTTAGTGCTTTAGACTTACCTGATAGTCATATAGCTAGCAGGGATATCAGCTTGCATTGATAGTTCAAGTAGTGTAGTTTTGCGGCTAAACATCTGAGCTCTACGGTCTCCCGATAATTAGTTTCGTTTGAACAATAGATAGATATATAGCCATGGCCAAAATCTGCGACGATACTATGCGTAGTAGAGAGGTCATGTTATGTTTACCATTCATTTTCGGTTCACATTAAAAAGTTTGAACTATATTTTTGCAAGACCAATATCTAATTTTCCAACGGATTTAATTCAATCTTTTTAAGAAAATGCATGGCTCAGCAAAAAAGTTTGTAATTCCTTCCCGAGACGATGACTTGTTGGAAGAGAACGACGATTTTTACACAATTAGTGTGCGTCCTCAACTGGACGAGATCATTTCAAAAGTGTTTCGTAAGATTTTTCAATACTTTTTCATGGAGGTGGAAATATGTGTCTTGACCAATATGTTCGGAAGAGTGAATATTTCCTGAAGCGAAATATTTACAGATTAGAAGCGAGTTTTCCGAGTAGCTTTAGCAATGAAGCATATTCCTGAGGTTGGAAGACACATTCCATTCTAGAAGAAATAATTATTAGAAGATGAGAGAGCAGTGATTTTTTATTATACTCCACTCATTGTAATCTTATCTGTTGGTTGTATATGACGTCTTTTAGAATTTCATCATGACATAGATGCTGGCAGATGGTCGCGGATCATCGATAGATTCGATCATCTATTTTTTACGATAAAGTAGGCTGTCATGTACAATTTGAGTGAAAAACATAATGTTTTGACATTTATTTACACCTCTTATTCCAAATCCATGTCACTTAAATTAACAGATCAGTTTGAAGCTCCCAGATTTCAGTGGAATGGATTTTGAAGTTTTGGTTTTCCATTTCCTTTCATGGTTTTTTCTCTTTTTTACTGATACAAAAACATTAATATTTTCCTAACATTACTTTTAGTTACTAAATTTATCGTCTTATGTTATGTCTCTTCACGGATTGTTTTCAGGCCGTTTTCCGAGGGTGAACCGTGGCGTCTTCGTGCTCAGCTTATCTCGGTTTTAAATACCGGTATGTTTTAATTACTCGGCCACAAATCGTACTTTATTATTCAGTGAAATCTTCAAATCTTTAAATTCTTTCTTTAAGGCTTAAAACTCACATTAGACAGCATCGAAGAACTGTTACCAATGCTTACAAGTGAGGCGGAAGCTGATTTAGCAGAAGATCTATTTGCTGAAAGAGAAATGCATGCACGGGCATTTTTAATGTATGTATATTTGTTATGCCGACTTGCTGTTCTTTTTGAAAAAGAATCATCTAATCGGTTTGTGTTTTACTTCATTTAAAAACAGTCTTATTTAATAGCGATTATATTTGCTGTATTAAGGAATCGTTATCATAATTGTCATAAAAAAGCTGGAGTATCGTTAATTTTCCACATCTCACTATTCATTTTTCAGAATCACTCTACAGTTTATTATCTGCTTCCTGTTTTGTTAAGATTTCAGATTAAGAGGTCTGAAATTCAAGTATCATAAAATTATACTTACATTTTTTCTAAATTTTAGGCAGTCGGAAACATCGAGCACCAAGAAAGGCCGAAAAGCAGTGTCAGATAAAGCAGACGATCAGTACATGATCCAGTGGACATGCGATCGAGGCAATACTTTGAAATCATTACGTCGTGCATTTTCAATGAATAGTATCGATGCGCAAGGACGACAGCGTAACACGGCTATTCGGTTTCTTTGGCAACCATCTATAGTGCCCCCGGAAATGTTAAAGTAATCATGAAACTTATAATTTATTATTACTTGGAATTGCTGTGTATTTTGAGCGTTAGAATGTAATTTATATTAAAGTTCTTTGAAATTACCTAGTCATTTGGGTGATATCAAAGAATGTATTTGAATGAGAATTTGAATGTATACAGGAAGTTTCATATAATTTAGAATCATTTCTTAATTTCTATTGAATTTTTAAATGAAGGTCTCAGAATTCTCAGAATTTTGCAATTTTTTGAGGATTTCGAAAGATCTGGCCTACAAATTTCTCGAAAATCCAGAACTCAGTAAAGTTAGCGGACGTGATTGGTTACAAACAATATTTGGCTACCTCAAAGTTATTTGTATTGATTACAGCGAAGTTGCTAGTGAATGCTTCTGTTTTCTTTCAAATTTCTTTTTTAAAATCAAGGGCGAACGATTTGTTATGCCATATGGCTCAGTTTTTGAGTTTATTAACAAAAACGCTGTGCCATTCTTGTAATGATGGAAGCTTGTAGTAATTGAAATGGCTTGTAAACGAAATTTCAGTTCATCGCTTTTTATTTCAGAAGTCGGTGCTAAATTGGTAAATTTGATGAAACGTCTCGATTATTTATCTCTTTCTTCGTTAACACAATCACCTTTTGTTGATGCAATCGAATCTGTTTCTTATTACGATGATATGGATATTCTTTTTCAGTCGATGCTTTCGGCACTTAGTAAGTTGAATGGGAATTTATAAATGTTTTTCCATAATAACTACTAGATTTCAAAGAATATTTTAGCTCGTGCATTGTTTCTCATTAATTATGATACATAAAAGCTACATATTTCTAAAAAGCTACATATGTGTTCTAGGTTTTTCAAGAAAATATACTGGAAATTCATCATATTTTGTGATTTAAAGTTAGCACTGGTCATGGAATGTAATCGTTCAGCTAGCCTTTAAACTTTGATATGTTGGAGTTTATGTCATACTTATACTTGAAATATACAATTTAGGCCGCTTATCAAAAAGCGATTTCGCTCGTAGTGATGTATCAGCTCGACCATTCTCTTTATTTATTGTTTCACTAGCCGAGAAGAAACCATATTTGTTGAATAAACATATCGTCAATATTGCTCCATTCCTATCCGATGATGTAACTCTCTTCTGATTTTTATCTTGTTTTTAATATTGTTTTTAACAGCGTTAAATATCTTATTTCTTAACAAATTTTAAAGATGTCGGGCTCTAAAATACTCATTTTTTCAGCCAGCCACTCTTCGCTGTGCCGTTCTGACTGCCTTTGTCGAAATCGTTATGGTTGTATATAAAGGAAATTTACCAGAAGGTAATTTTCGAAGGTCACGCGATCGTCTTCTTCTTCACTTACAGGTTTAATATATCTTCACTATAATGTAAAATAAAAATAAAATAAAATAAAAAGATTTTATTTCTTTTTACATTGTTGATGTTGATTCAAATCAGTTAAAGGATCACACGGTTGATGTAAATGCAGTAGTACGTTCTCGTGCATTACAACTATGGACACGTTTGGCTCGCGCCTCACAAATACCGATAGTTTTTATTAGTGGTGGTCTTATTCGTGATGCTGGTGGTCGTTTAATAGACAAGTCGGTGTCGGTTCGGCGAAATGCGGCTACTTTTTTAAGTGCCATTTTGGAATACAATCCATTTGGAGCTTCTGTAAGTTACAATTGATATTCCGTTGAACGAAAAAATTTGATTATCTTAGCAACTATTGTTGCAGTAAATTCATGATGTATTTCACATTTAAAGTTAGCACTGATTATGGGATGTAATTGTTCAGCTAGGAACAACTGAAATTTGTTTCAAGTGCAGCCCAATATTTTTGCAGTTGAATGCTGATGATTTGGCGGATGCTATCAGTCGTCTTGAGGCGGAACGATTTGAATTGAAGAATAACAATCCAGGTAGGCGAAGTTAAAGCTTATGAAAAATTATGACTTTTTTACCCATCAAAAATTACAAGCTATAGCAGAAATTTAGTTGTCCCATGAATTTATTTTTTAATAAATTAAATGAAAATATAGGATTTTCCTATTCTCTCAGTAGGAATTACGCTGTACTTTTTGATGATGAGAGACAATACCCATATCCAGGACACTTACCTAACATTCACTACACGAAATAAGTTTGCAATTAATTGCACTGGTTTTCTCTATTTAATTCATTTTTTCTCTCTTTTGACAGTTCAGACTATTTAAATCTTTTCTAAACTGGAATTATGCACTCTGCCTGCAGAGAAGGAAGGAATCAGAAAAGCGTGTGTTGAATGGGCATCTATGAAAGAAAATTTGATTCAGTGGATTACAAAAGCAGTCAAACAAAGACTAAGCAAACGGAATGCAGATGCTAGTGAAGAAGAAAGCGTAGGAAACACTATTGATCAAAATGGGAATGAAAATGCTGGTATTTTTTTTTTGCACAATGCTGATTGTATAATGATCTGTTTTGCATAACAGGAATCATTTTTAACAAATCACTGCTAAATAAATAAGAAATTTTATAGGAGATACAGAGAATATTTATGCTGAGGTCAGTGAAACAAATGGCGTTAGCATGACCGCGGTTGACGAGTGCATCATTGATGATGATGTCACGCTCGAAGAGTACGTGTTACTTTTTATATCCATGAATTCTAGATGTTCGTAATCTATCATGATAATCCATTCCCATGTTGAAAATATCTATCACTTTTTTGATTTTTTTCAGACTGATAACAAAAATTGTACATGCTCTTGAAAATCGTGGAACATGCCGTGCGGCTATCGAAGTACTAGTTCGAGCAGCTCTCGATGGCAGATTTCCTACTATTAACAGGCTTGTGTTTTTCTATTTTTGTTTAATACGTAATTTGCATGCTAGGTTGCATTACTTAACAATGGAGAAGTTTGTCAGCAAAATACATGGCAAGCTGACCAATATAGTGCAATATGACAGCATACATGCACCTTATTACTTTATGGGAAAGATAATTTTGTTGTGTATTTACTGCTAGAAAAGTTAGAAATTGTTTTATTCCACACAGCCTTTAGGAATGGATCAGCCGATGAAATCATTCGGGAATGTTATGAATCGTTACAAGTGTATTATTTCGGTATGGTTTTTGGACACTGTAAATTTCTCCCTTTGAATTATTTTCTAAATGATGCCGCTGGCAGCAACAGTTTCTTGCTACCACTTCTTGATTAAGTTATTATTTAGATGAGCATAGAAAGATGCAATTAGCTGATGATGAAGAGATGCTGGAGTTGGAGGACCGCATTGGGGATTATCAGAAAACGATGGAGGAACTGGATAATAAAAACAAGCTACATGAGGTCAGTATAACGGTTTTTTACATTTTGGTATACAAGCAATGCTTAATAAACATTGCTAAAAATGTTGGTGGAATTAATATGGTTAACCAAAAGCAAACAAATCATACACATATTTTTAGCATACTTATTCAATATGATATCCTATTTTTAGAATGCTATAATGTTTTCACTGGAAATTGAAAATTGCATGAAACTAGCATTACGGTCGGTAATGTATGGGCAAGCTAATGAATTGACTGAAATTATTCATTTTATTGTGGAAGCTAATAAATTTGGAATTCGTGGCTCGGAAAAAGGTGTCCGTGAATTGTTCAAAGTGGTTTGGAGGCGAGACAATGCGATTAAAGAAATTATCATAAATGCTGCTCGAGATTTATTCATCTCTGCGAACAAGTTTGTTTTTATGCTTTACAGTTATATATCCTATTCGTTTTTGGAACTTAGGAAAATTCCTTATTCTGAAGAAATCTGTTATTTTGTACATTCAAAACCTTCAAAGCCTCTAGCGACATAGTTTTTTATTCAGTTGTTTTGAAGAAATGCTCACTTAAAGTTTATGCCAGAATTGAACAAAAAAAAAAACAATGTAAAAGCAAAAGCCTCCGTCAAAATCTTACCCTTTTGCTTTTTAAAAGGAAGTAGTTTCATGAAATCATCATTTGGGTCAATAAGTAGATGAAATAAAAAATTGGTTACATTGAGCCATCTGCTATTTTCAGTTTAACATCAAAAAGAATGGGACCTTTTGGGAAATATTTCTTGTTCACCTTTATTTAGAAATTTTTTATGCAGAGATCGCGATGTGAGTGCACGGAGAAGTGCAGAAAATCTCATTAAAATAGTCCTTGGTATCGATGAAGAAGAAAGAGTATCCGTTGAGGAGGTGAGACTATAATGAAATATGCTTTTTATTAAATGCGTTGAAGAACTAGTCCCTCATTACTGACTGGATTTATGTGATCATTTTTAACTTCTTTTCGGTCTTAAAATGATTAAAGTAATTGTACTCTTTGGTTCATCTAGGTGCTTTGTTTGATGGCTCGGGAAAATCGCTGGGATATTGATTTGCTTGATGTACTCTCCGCAGTGGTCTTTGAAACTCAAGGCGCATCTCGCATTGCAGCTTTGCGTCTCTTTTCTATTATATGCAGGTATTTAGTTGTTGAAATGCTTTAATTTGAAAAGTTCAGCCTGGAACCTTTACCGCTTTATTAGTCAATGGTTCGAAGATATCTTTTGGTTAAAACTTTTTAGAGCGAACAAAGAATTTATGAGAGAGAGATTGAACTTTTTTATTGAATTGACGCAGCGCGAAGGTTTTTTCGATAATGATGACGGCGCATTAGCAGCCGAATTCTTTAATGCAGTCTCAATGTTGGGAAGTACACCGAATACTAGAGATGTTAATACTCTCTACGAACCACCGTTTCGTCTCCCTGAAACACATCGCATCCTTCAATGTGTCCATGCTGTATTAGTACAAAGTAAATCTTTTTCATTTTCAAAAAATGAAATTGACGTTTTCTCACTTTGCTGGATTATTTTTTATGTTTAATGGTTTTAAAAATTATGGTCAACTAATTTCATATTGAATTAGAATTAATTAGAGTAGGTAAATTTTATGACAAGATATATTTGCAGTTTGCTAATTTATGATATGAATCTTACAGATGTGGCAAATACATCATATAACTGGTTAAGTATGATGCAAAAAGCGGTGAACACAATATTTTACGTGGCTGCGAGGCCATCTCTTTGTTGTCGACTTATTGCCTGTGGATTAATGCATGAAGCAAAACGGTCCCTTGCATACTTTTTCCTGAAGAAACGAGAAATTCAACAAATTGAAACAATTAACTTTGAGTTTGTTTTCTTTTTTCTTTTCTCCGTTTTTCGTGAAGGAACATTGTCTACTTGGTTTGTTAATTTTCAAAAACATAGTTTGATATTTAGAAATCCTCCGAACAGTGCAGATGTTGATGAGTTTGGAGATCTATTGGCAGTGGGAAAGGAACGGTTACGAGACTGTAGTGAAGCTGAAGATGAAGAACTAATCGGGTCACAGAATGTCGGTCTTGTTGATGATGAGAATCTTTCGAAAATGAAAAAGGATGTATTGAAATTATTGGATAAAGATAAGGAGCAGTCCTTTCTAGCTTGGGAAACAGTGGCAGAACGAGTTTGTGCCTTTGCTGGACAGGTAAGTTGAATTTTAGACGGAGAAGGGTTTTATTGTATTAATAAAATGATTCAGAAATATGGACGAAAAATAAATAAATTGACTATTATGACAATGTCAAGACGTTATAAGTGGTAAAAGAAGAATTTTGAGATCGCTCTAAAGACATTAGTCCACACTGATGTGTCATTTGTGGCCGAGATGAAAAGGAGAAATGAAATTTTGCACGGCATTCGAGCAACTCTAAATGATATTGATCATAATAAATTGGAAAGAGCGAATTATGTTGAAGAGTTTTCAATAAAAAGGGTGCTTTCAACATTGGAAGCTGAATCAGTTGAAAGGCGTGGATTTTTTGAAGTTAATGAACAAGAAGAAGGCGATCGTTTAGGTTTAACGGGTTTGTGATTTTACTACTCTTAGCCCTTATATCAGGCCAATGATGTCATGAATACCTTATCAATAAAATATTATCAGAATTAGTTTCATATGGCGCATTTCGTAGTTAGGTATGACATCTTTGGCGATATCATATCTTTGGCGCTATCAGATAACTTAATTAGTAATGTTCCTTTCCTTTTAGGAATATCAGAAGAAGAGCGCATCTTGGAGCGCGCACAGCGAATATGCGAAAATGCTGTATCGCGTAAGGGATCATTACTACATCGTTTAAGTAAATTTTTAGTTGCAGTTGTGAAGTCGAAGAAAAATACATGTTCAGAAAAACTTCGTTCAACAGCAATATTGGCAATATCAAAATTCATGCTTCTGAGGTTTGTTATAAATACCATCTAATCTCATGTTAATAGATCATTACACGGACAATCTCTTCAAATAATTCGACTATTATGACATTGTCAATACGATGTACAATGGTAAGAGAATTTTGAGATCGTTTTAAAGACATTAGTCCACACTGATGTGTCATTTGTGGTCGAGATGAAAAGGAAAAATGATATTTTGCACTGCATTCGAGACTCTGAGTGATATCTATCATAATAAATTGGAAAGGGCGAATTATGCGTATATATAAAGTTGTCGGTTGAATTGAAAAAGCTATTAAAATATGTTATATAGAATTTGTCAGAAAAGTTTTCATGTTTTTTGTATTTTGCATCTTCGTTGCAGTATGAAAACATGTATGCGTTTCATGCCATTATTTTTGGAGTATTTCAAAAATTCACCAAGTTCAGAATGCCGTAGCAATTTGATGATTGCAATTGGTGATTTATGTTTTCGTTTCCCAAATGTGATCGAGAAATACAGTGAGCATCTCTATCATGGGTTGGCATTTTATATTAAAAAAATCTTTTTCTCGTAGAGATTTTAGTAATATTTAAATATAGTTTTGAAGCATTATTGATATCCATTATTAGTTGGACTAATTCTCTGCCAATAATTTATTCAATCTTAGAATTAATGATAAAGACGATTATGTGCGGCAGACTTCTATTATTGTATTGTCCCATCTTATGTTAAACGATATGGTGAAAGTACGTGGAACGGTTGCCGACCTGGCACAGTGTGTAAATGATGAAAATGTTAATGTAGGACAGCTTGCAAAATTCTTCTTTTCGGAACTTGCGAAGAAGGTTTAGTTGGAAATCATTTTTTTCTAATCATTTTTTCCCAAATTATTATAGGAATGACTTTCTTTTTTATTTCACTTAATTTCGGAAGAGTCATCACTTCTGAAATGGTGAGCCTTATTCCGTATCTCGCAGTCGACGGATATTATTTCTTTTAATTTTCTTTTAAAAGTGTGATCTCACGTCTTTCATCTAGAAAATCAATAACTATCGATGATTTTATAAAAATAATGAAATAAGTTTCTTTTAATATTATAAATGTGATGGCAAAAACACTTTGCAGAATAGCCAACAAGAGGAGAAAGTAAAATTCCCATTTATCCTTTTCAAGTAATGTCCTTAAAAAATTTGGATTTTTTTGATTATGTACAAAAACTAAAATCGTATTTTTAAAAGTCAATGCAAATGGTTAGAGTCTTTAAATTGATTCATTTCAGGGAAACATTCTTTATAATTTGATGCCTGATATGATCTCACGTCTTTCATCTAGCAAATCAATAACTATCGATGATTTTATAAAAATAATGAAGTAAGTTTTCATTCTTCTAATAAGCTTTCATTTCAAAAGTATGAAATAGTTGTGTAGAATGTAACCTTCAGCTTTATAAAAAATTCATCTGTTATATATTTGGATGGCACACATTTAACTACTTCCTTAATATGATTATACAGTTTTTAATCTTTTATCAATTGTTACTATCGATTATTTTGTATGTAATAGCGTTGTGTTTTCAGGTTGTTACTGGCATTTATCAAAAAGGATAAGCAAGCTGATAGTCTACTTGAAAAACTAATACAGCGTATGCAAGGAGTTATTAATAAGTAAGAAAAATAATTTTTTTCCAACTTTTTTGACACTTCATAGTTGCAAGATTTAATTTCTTCAGAGATGGACTATTTGACGTACGGTTGGCAGAGTGTTTATCATATTGTATTTCATGCCTTCCATTAAGTGAAAAATCGTTTCGGTTTATGGCTGAATCTTTACCAGCTTATTCAAATTTGCTGGCTTTGGAATGTGTTTTTACGAATTTACAATCGGCTGTTCTTCACTTTAAAAAATATTCCGTGCGGAACACAGAGCTTAAGGTTTGAAAACTGCTCTTATTGCTTTTATATTTTTATAAATTATGTTTTTAAATCTATGTGTTTTGTTAACTTAATTTTCATTTATTAATGGAAAGAATCAATTTGCAGGGAGAAGTGGATGATTTTTTGGAATCACTGACTGAAATGCATCATGACAAACAAGAACATGAGGGCATTGCTTATCGAGGATTGATTCATAGGGTAAGTTCATATTTCATTTTAAATCAATTGATTATGCTTGTAAAGGAATAGTATCGATGATTCAATGTATTTGTATAAAATTTTGTATTCAATTGCTCTTCGTTTTAAACTATAGTTTAGAGGGCTTCATAGCACAACTTTTTAAAAGAAGGTACAAGATACAAACATTAAATTATTACATTATATTACACTAGTTTCTTTATAGTTTTTATCGTTTGTTCGGCATGTGACAAATTGAATGTATTTGTGTTTCTTGTAAATCACATTTCCCATTTTCTCTTTCTAACAAATTGGCGGTTTTTTTCAGAAGAAGTGCAAGGCACCATTGAAGTTGAAGAAGGCTCGCTAAATCTGTGTTTATTGTATGCAAATATAAATATAAACATGAGAGTGCTAAGTAATTTAAATTGTGTGTGTATATTATGAATAACGTACTTTCCAACGTGTACTTTAGTGTACCTAAAAATTTTCACTTCCTTCTTCACAGTGTTTTTGTGTGTTTTTTTAATGTAAATGTATCACTCTACAGTGTTCATCTGGTGCATTTATTTCTATTATCACTGAGATGCAACGAGGATTTGATTTTGTAGGGTGTTACAAAAAGACAAACTCATACTGTTTGATTTCAAAATAAAGCATATGTGACTTATAAACATTCTCTTATTCCGATTATTAAGATTCCCGGAAAATACGATTACATGTTTATAGTTATAAAGCTTATTTTAATTATTGCCATTAATAACAATTTGGACATAACCAAATTTAATATAGGGGGTTGAGAGACTGTTCTAAGAAGAATGTGGTATTGTTAATTGTATAATCTGCAAAGTGCATTTCTATATGTGGTATCATAAAATATAATTATTTTGTTAGAGTCTTTCAAAAACCATTCTATTAGTACTGAATAATGTGCTGAAATTTGGAACAATCTTGTTTTAGCTGACAACATGGTGATTTATTCTTCGTCGTTATATGTCCATTATATTACAATTTTTAGATTAAATTGAAAATATATTATGCATTGTTTTGTTTACTACATTCTTGAGTAGAATTGCTAGTCAAAGGAAAGAAGCGCAAAAGCTCAACTTCACTTTTCATCGTTTGCGAAAAAACTTCGAGCTAACTCTTTACTACCATTCCAGTCCTAAGGAAGGTGAAGGAACACAAATAATGGATAAGATTTCAATTACATGTTTGATTTTACTCACTAAATTTAATATTACGAGCGTAACATCAGTGGGGATGTGTAACTAGTTCGAAAGATGGGGAGACAGTGTAAAAAGAGCTCCGCACATTTCAAAATGTTGTAATATAGTCGAGCAGCTGTCATTGTTTTGCCACTATTTGCAAAACTTCATTTTGCTGGAATCACTGCTGTCTTGAATAGAAGCTTTTGATATATCCGAATATTGATCAGTGATAAAGAATGGATGAATCAGTGGCACAATCTCCCAAACAACAGGTATTTATTGATTCATTTATTTATTTGGTCAAAGAATAGAAGTTATCGCTAATGAGACTGGAGTGAAAGCAACTCTATATTTTCAAAAAGAGATGACGGTATGCAATTAATAAGGAAACCCAGTTGGATTTTCTTACAAATTGCTGTATATCTTTGAAGTGAGCAAATTTTCTTTCCTTAAAGAAAGCCATAATAATCTTCAAATGCGATAGTTCTGTAGCGTATAATTTTGATAATTCATGAGAAGCTATAAAATCTTCGTCGTATTATAATATTAGTAATAAAATGTCTGAAAATCGAAATTTTTCAATGGAAAAGATTGATTTGTGCTTAAAAATAAATGCTTCAGACACCCACAGATAATTCCCCAACTTCTGCAATTCCAATAGCAGCAGATAACAATGATACGGTTAGCATTTTTGATGATTCTTTTATGAATTGAATGAAAGTGAATTAATGATAATGAGATACAATAATTTTCATATGAACTGCAAGGAAAAAGCATTTAGGCAGCGCTTATTTTGATTCATTTCCTTATCATTATTATATATTCTAATCACTTTTCGCACTCCACTTCATTCATCAAACATTCGCCTTCTTTGTGATAGTTATATATAAACGTACAATTATCACTGTTGTTATCCGTATAGCTAGATGTTTGCTATTTTTTCTGCTCTCAGTTCATTTTTATACCTGTAATTTTCTTTGTTTCAGTAGTTTAAAAAAATATTTGAAATTTGAGCCTATGATTAACAGCATTATCGACTGATAAATATTACAGGAAAAATTGGTTATACCTAACTTGATTCTTACATTAGCAAAAATGTACTACTTCAAAATTAGTTGAATGATTCACGAAGTAAACTCTTAATATTACTTTTGTTTTCATATTGCTTTTGTAGTGCTTTTTTTCACGCATTGTAGCTTCATTTATATTTTTATTCTGTGTTCTTCATTTTCATAAATTATTAATTTAATGTTAGCTATTTTTATGAGTGTAAAATCAAAAACGTAGCCTAAAATTGTTCGCATTTTTTAGCAAGTAGCCGAAATAACCGTACAAATTGAATTGAAAGGAAAAGAATCGACAGCGAACAGTTTGTCTGGAGATTAACAGTTGATATATCTACTTCTGTCTTCTTTAGTCACTTTTTCCTCGAGCTATTTTATTTTTATTATTGCATCTGAAATGTTATTATGCGCACTTCTCTTAGTTCTCTTTCGTTGAGATTTTATTTATTGGATTCATAAGGAAAATTCGGATTTACAAGGCTTCGTGGAGCAGGTACAACGTCGAGACCAGGTACAACAAAACTGAGAAACTGAAAGACGTAAAACCCAAGCGATAGAAATAAGAGTGAAAAATGGCTGCAGGATCGTAAAGTCTTGCAAACTGAAATTGCAAATCGGCTGATATATGGAGTCCAAGTTGCCGTACCTGCAAGCTATTGTTTCTTGGATTCCTGAGTACTTGTGTGTTTAAGTAGCTTGTTCACATTCTGGGTAAACGCTTTTATTACGGATATATGCAACCATTTCAGAAATTAATACTGCTCGTTTATATAAACGAAGAAAAAAACTTATTATCTTAAGGAAAACTTACAAAATATATAATTTCAACTTCTGAAAGAGATATATTACCTTAATGGCCTGAACTTTATCGCTGTTTGATTTTGCTTTCAGTGATAGTTTTTTTTAGTGAACTATACTTTTATAGGACTTTGGTGCTACATATTTTCTTAATAAAATGCAAGTTTTATTTCTTTGAAACACACAATATATAGATGTATATTGCTTTCATTCAATAAATGGAATGTTACAAAGATCAAAAGCTTCTACTTAGTGAAATAGATACTTAATATGGGGGCGCTAAAACACAGACTAATGGGTGAAAATACTATGGACTGCTGCTCATATAATTAATTTATTATGATTTTCATTTTTTAACACTTATTTTAATAGTTAAGGGTATTTTCCTTCCATTTATAGCCCCACCAATCGTGATGTTTCTTTTCTTTTTCTATTGAGTTAAGCATTAAAATTGACGACTATATATTTTTTCTGCTGATTGAACATTTTTGGTATTGGGATTTTGGAATCAAACTTGTGTCTTTCAGAAACGTGGCTCTGGAACTAATGAAGCCTAAGGTTATTTAAAAAATAGTTCATTAATTTCACCAGAGATTAATCCTTATATTTGTTGCTCATTTTTATTTTTCATCGTTTTTCTTTCATTTTGCCAAGCTCAGCAAAACAATGGTTTCTTAACAAGATCAATAAATACTTTTAGTGAGTCATTTAAAATGTATAAAAGTAGAAGGAATTCAGAAGTTTAATCATTTAGTTTTTACCAGTCTAAAATAAGTATAAATGCGGAGCCTGAAGAGATAATTTTAACATCAACAGTATCGACGACAACGACAAATTCAACACATCGATATCTGTTTTTGGATTTCATAAGGCGTTTGAATTAATATTTTATGACCATGCGATTGGTTGTATATTTATTTGTTCTCGAATGCCATAACAAATAATACGTAATGTCCGAAAACCTTCAAAGCAGAGAAGACACTCAACTCAAAAGTTTCATTTTCAGGAATTGCGAAGGGATACTCCTTCGGAGGTTTTCGTATCTCCAACATTTTGTGGAACTTCGGGAATACCACCTGCTGGAGTACCACATGTACCAGCCTCCGCTTTCATTTCATCAGCGTTAAAGCAAGCAAAACACGTTGATACTCAAATTGAAGATAAGAATCTTTTTCCCGAGCAATCTGTTCATAAGCAATATAGTACCAAGGATTTTTCAAGCTACCCGAAGATTTTGGAAGAACAGGTTTCAAAATTGCCAACTTCAATGGCCATATCAACTTCGGCAGTATCAACAGGCGAGAATCCTATAGAAAATACACCAAAGAACGAAAATGGTTTCATTTTCTACAAGTGTCGTTTCTGTGGACTTACTTACAACTATTTAACAACATTACGAGCTCATGAACGAGTGCACAATATTGATGAGGTTTGTTACCTTTTTAGAAAAACATTCCCATAAATTTGTTTTAAGATTGTTTTAATTTGTTTTAAGATCACTTTAATTTTGATTCTTTGATACGTTTTGAATTATTATCACTGCAGCCTTATAAGTGCAATCGTTGTTCGGAATCATTTCATTATCTATGTGAATTGGAGTACCACGCCAAACAGCATACCGGTAAATGTTTTATTCGTTCCTTATCAGTATACTTTTTTCTATTCTAAGAAAATGTTAAAGGAAAAAGCAAAGTAGCAGTGAAAAACTCGGATCGAATTTCTGTTGATTAAATTCCGTCAAGTTGAAAGTGGAAGAGTGGTTACGATGAGATTATGTTGAGGAAATCTTAGTTTGTTTTAATACTTCCTGATTTTTCACTTAATTTTAATGCCTGCCGATTTCAACTTTGTTGTTGCAGATTTGAAGGGTTACAAATGTGAATGTGGCAGAACATTCCATTCGTACACCGATCTACTGTATCATAAGCATCCAGGGGATGAGGATGAAGAATCCGTTACTGCAACGGCGCCCACTGCTCAAAAATCACCTATTCCAGAAAATGATTTCCCCATACCAGAATTTATGGAGAAAGGGTTTGAACCGAAGCATCCTTTAAAAGTTTATTCTGATGTGCGCCTCAATCCATACATTTGTCAGTATTGCTCGAAAAGTTATCCAAACAGTCGGTAAAGTTTCAATTTATTATACGATGAGTAAAAACTGTCTTTTTGGGCAAGCTTTCTGTAAATGGCTTCATCGTTACTTTAGTTTAGAATGTAGTGCTTGTAACAGCGACTGTTTCTGGAATCACTTATAGTTTTCTAAATCTTTTGATAATTTGCAGCATGTTAGCATATCACATGTATGGACATCGAGGTGAAAAGATATTCAATCCCCGTGCTTCAAGATATCTGATGGCACGCACCGAGAACTCCTATATCAGTCCAGGACCTTGAAGATCGAGAAAGGCTTTGGATGCTTCTAATAAGAATTCACTTCAACTGTGTATGATCTATACAAATCGTGAAGAATTTTGTTTTTAATCATTGCAAATTAAGAAGCTGAACTTTTGGAATAAATGATAGTAGATTATTTATGCATGCAACACGAAGGCCTTGTTAGGGAAAGAATTCCTAGCACTCAAAATAATAAAGTCGAGGGCAGTTTATCATATATGCGAGTAACTTGTGGTACCATAAGGAACAACGATTTATTTATTAATTTAAGAAAATTTCTAGCACTTACTGCCACTAACAAATGGTCAACGAATAAATAATACAATGCATTGGAGAATTAACTGGTCTCATGTGAGCCTTAACAATAATTTATATATCGAATTATCAAATCTATTCTTCCACGATACAAACTTAAATATTAAGATTTTCTCTGCGTAATAAAGGCGCTATTTATTTAAAAAATAATCATATTTCAGTTTACCACTTGCAGTTCATTATGTTAGAACTTTTCCAGATTATGATAAAAAATTTAAAAAAAAGTAAAAAAAATTCAATTCATTAAAGCTTTTATATCTTCACAGCGGATTTGATACTTGCGTAGCTCGTTCTGGATGCCTACTCGCATTAATTTTACCTTCTACAAATAAAGATATTAACTTGCGTGCTTTGTATTCATCCAACGTGGTGCATATGACCTGCATAAGAACATCTGGCATATTATTCATTACTGATTAAGTAATGATACCAATTACCACTGTTTCCAAAAGCAATTTCTTACCTTAACAGCATGAAAATGGTGTATTGAAACACACTCGACGATTAGGAGCAACTGCTGTATCATCATCATTGTCAGTGGTAATGGGTGGCTCACTGCTTAGGAATATGCGATCGGCATCGGATTCCATCAATTGTTCCAAATAAGCCCAGTCATCGTTATTCCACCTATTGTCCTTCACTACTTCTGATGCTTGAATGGCCGGTTCCTCCACCGGTAGCTTACCATCATCAGCGATAACATAGTGCTTTTGTAATAAAGGTTCCTCACGACTATCGGATGCCTTACGCCTTGCTAATTCAATTATCTCCTCCAAAGTCACGGCTTGTTTAGGAGTCGGTAGAGATGTCCTGAATACATTTCCAGAATTATCGTTAGTAGCCAACATCGGTTCCGATTTTGCTCCAGTTTCTGAAATTTTAATTTTTTGGGAGGGTGATCCGACCAAATCTAAAAAATTTGTTAACCATAAACTGCAGAAAGGCCAGTAATTATCAGCTCATTAAATTTCAAACAGAGTTTGCTGATAGATTCACTCGCCTTGTACAACGAAGTAATTTTGCCGGTGTAAGAGATTTAGCTTCGCTTTCAAAAAGTCAGCTGATGCCGAGACGGAAAGCGTCGAAGATTCCTGATTTCGGTGATGTACTTGATGGCATGACCGATTACAATCAGTGGTGGTACAGAATGGTTGCAATTGCATGCGCATCGCTCTATACATCAAGACTATGCTTACAACAACATGAGAAGAGCTGCTAGGCAACGCTAAGCCTCTCAAGCAATACGTATATCATTAGCGTACTAGAAGTCGTCCAATTTTACATTCCACTTCATGAAGCGACATTATCTCTGAATGTAGCAGCTAGACTTGTTCAATAAGCATGATGAGGATGGGTAATATTAATGAACTAGTAATTATCCATAAAACTGAAAGAGTATTTTTATACATCGCTCAACGAAGAAAATATCCCAACAACTTATGAAAGCAACCATTTTCACGATGTATAGAAGAAAAAACAGATCCCTCGGAGCGAAAATGTAAATTCCTCTTTATCACATAGCTATTCATTGTTAATTGACATCATTAATGTGAAGCCATATTGACCTACCAAGCCATGCCAGTTATCTTCGAACCTGACTTATCTCTCGAACCTGACTTACCTCGAGAGAGAGACTTCGCCGGAAGAAATAAAGCACATCTCAAAATAGATCATCAAATCACTTCGATTTCCGAAAGTAAGGCAGATATTATTGTTCAAAAACTATCTTTCCATACAACCTTAACAACTTCCTATTTCGCATAAGTGCAGAAAACTTAGTATTGCTTTTGACTTTTGACCACCAAACAATACAGGAAACCAACTGTAAAATATTACCTTGCATTAGTCGATTTCTAATTAATTCTACACAACAATCCCTATGTCCACATCTAGTACCAGGTCTCTCTTCTGAATTGTGAACGTTCCCCGTATCTCCTACCTCGGTATTACTCGTATCAGTCCTAGCTATTTCCCATTCCTAGGTTTTTTTGGAGACTGAAAAACGCTGAACGTTATGGCAGGGCCGCATTATAAATATCTCTGTTCTGGAATTTGTCAGGGGTTATTGTGGATGGAGTAGTAGTTTGAAGTAGAGGGAACTGCTGGGATGTCGTGGAGGAATGGCGGTCGTTCAAACTTTTTATGGTTCCTTCTCTTTTTCACTTTCTCTGTCAAAATAAAAGAGCTTAATATCAACGATGAGCGGTAATATTACCACGGAGCGGAAAATGGAAATTATGCAGCTAGAAATGAATAGCTTTGTGTTGCGGTTGGAACCACGAATGCGTGCTCGATTCAGTGATTCACTTCGAAAGGTGCTAGTCGAAAGTTTATTGGATGGGACTGTGTTTGCGATTGTCGAATCGCTCAGTGATTTGCAGCGCATGAATGAAACGTAAACTCTATTTTGCTGCTTAATTTAAAAATGAAAAGTCCATTAAAATAACTCAACTTTGCCTCGTTTATAAAGCAAAATTTTTGGTAATCTTTTCACTTTTCACAAAAAAAAAACATTAGTTCCAATGTTTAGACAGCTTTACAATGACCGCCAGCAGCGACTGATGGAATTGCAGTGTGTTCCTGATTTGGATGAACAAATGAAGCAAATTGATATCAGTATTGTCACTGAGCTCGATAAGGTATTTTCTTGGCGAATGTCTTTTAAATTCATTTGTTCCACTTAGTTCCAATCATCGCCATTATATACGAAAAAAACGGTAAAAAGTCGTTGATTCTTTGCAGATAGTAGCCCAACAGCAAGATACGTTGTACCGTGCCGGTGTTCCAGCATTTCACATTACTACTAGTCCTCGAGAAATTGAGTTGCAGATGGCAATTATCAGTTTCATTCTAACAGTTCGTGCTAGACTTCCATGACAATTATTGACAACTTTGTTTCTCTTATTGTCAGATGAAGTGCCAGTGGAACTTAATAAATATTTGCCAATATTGAGTGCAGGCGTCGAGAACTTATGGAGTGAAACAATCTCGATGTTAGTAAACCTCATTGTTCTATAAAATGACTCTTTCAATGCGAAAGTTTACGAGAGGCTTTTGTTTTCTTTCCTTTAACGACGAGTCGGGTTTCATGGAATCTGTTAAGGGTTCCTATCAAACGCATATCAATTAATGCTTTTAATAAATTGTCATAGCATCGTTACTGCGTTACACTTCGTCTTATATATATTGTAGTGACAACATTTTATTAAAACACACAAAATGTTGACACAACGCGATTATGTCAGGTCGGTTTCAGTTTAAGTTTTCTCAAGCAAACACTTTTTTGATTAAAAAAATTTTCCACTGCGCTGAATTATCTTTGTCTGGGTTACCCCTCGTTAGTGGATAATCTTCTTTGATGCTATTGAAACTTGAATCGGCCGAAGCGGGAAGGAGATCAAGAGGCTCGGTTAAACGAGTTGGGATTTAAGAGGAATTTTGAGCTGCAGCAGCCAGTACTTCCCATGCAACATATTCTGTTCTACTGTAGTTTATTGGTCACGTAGGACTTCGGGATCTGATGTTGCATGCTTGGTCTTTAGGGAGCAGCGTTCGTGTAGAGAGGTCATTGATTCTAAGTTGGATGGCAAGAGTGTGAGACCAGGTTGGAGATCCCTGTGCACCATTTTTAGGTTTACTTTTTTGAAGTGGAACCGAAAAAGGCAGTTACTGGATACCGTCGCAGTAATTAGTCGTAATTTCTTTCACGTTTCACTTTTTGGGTTTGTCCTAGTTAAATTTTTCTTAACGGGACTGAGTTTGATAGCGGAGTTCATGGGGATTTATGGTTATTGTCGCTCTTTTGCTTTAGTAATATTCTGATTACATTCCATGGTCTTCGTATGAACGTTGTTTCGGATAATGAGAGTTAATACAGTCATCTTTATCGCTTTCGTACTATTTTAGCTACAACCAGTTTAATTTGAATCACACTATGGGTTTGATTGATAAACCAATCATTATTGATGGAAAAGATCATCTTTTGGGACGACTAGCATCGGTTGTCGCCAAACAGCTCCTCCTTGGTCAGAAAATTGTTGTTGTGCGATGCGAAGAGATCATCATTTCTGGCAATTTCCATCGTTCTAAACTGAAGTTTATGAGCTTTTTGCGTAAGCGATGCAACGTTAAACCGGCACGTGGTCCTTATCACTTCCGTGCACCAAGTCGTATATTCTGGCGAACTGTCCGTGGCATGCTGCCGCATAAAACACATCGCGGAAAGGCGGCACTGCTTCGTTTGAAGGCATTTGATGGCATCCCGCAACCTTATGATCGAGTTAAACGACAAGTTCACCCCGCAGCTTTGCGGCATTTGGCGTTGAAACCAAGAAGGAAGTATTGCACAGGTGTTTTTATGCTAAAATTTTTAATAATATGTCGACATACAGTCTCTTTTGGTTTACTTTCACTTTAAACTGGTAGTTTGGAAATTTTCAGAATATTGTTTGAGGATTGAACCATTTTTATCGAAGCCAGCAATTAAATCAATTTTTACGTTTAAAAGCTAGAAGTATTATTAAGTATAATGTATATTTTGTTGTTGCCGTTTGAGTACTTTGCAGAACAACAAAAATTTTCAATGTCTGACTTATTTCTCGTTGAGCGTTTAGTCAAGACACACTTACATGATTTAAAAATGTGAACCAGTCGGTTTCAAATGCGGTGGTCAACGGTAATACATTTTCAGTTGGACGTCTTGCGCATGAAGTAGGTTGGCAGTATCTCGATGTGGTCGCAAAGCTGGAAGCCAAAAGAAAAGTTAAAAGTGCCGCATTTCATGAACATAAAAAGATGAAGTCGAGGCTATTCGGACAGGCGTTGAAATCAGATCTTGTTAAAAATTCACCTTATCAAAAGCTGATAGAATCTTATGGTTACCAGTAAATTTCTGTTTTGTTTTTAATGGAATAAAATTTTAGCTGTTTGCTAAACACTGATTTTCTTTTTAAATACAGAAAGGTCATTCATACGAGAATATTGTACTACTGCGTTGCTGCAAAAAATAAATATGTCGGGGATTGCTTTATTTTCGGGGATATACAATGGATAAAAATACCGAAGTGAAGGAAGGCAAGAGATTTAGTCTCGCTTTCATAACGCTTTTCAATATGTGTAAGTTTAGCAGTCAAGCTCTTTGAACATGCTAGCGGAGATTAGCAGTTTGTTGGATAAGAAGTATGATATTATTGCGATCGAATGCGAAGATTTGAGCTCACCTGCTTTCTTACAATTGTGCGTTGTTGATTATGCGGTGAAGAAGGACGTAAGGGTTATCTACGTATCAGCGACAAGAAGTATGCTAGCCTTTAAGTTCGTTAATTTCTTTTCATCATGTTCAGTGATATCGGGTCGATCACAGGAAATGTTTCAAATTTATGAGAGTATATCCATGAAATGCATTGTTCTTAACTTCACATATCCCAATTTCATCGCATTCCTTCTTGTGTGTGATGTTACTGGATTTGAGTACTGCCAATGTTGAGAAGTCGGAGCCATTTTCTGTAAACATTGCGGTTAGTCGTCCATGTCAAGATTTGTTTCATGAGAATCGTGCAAGTACTTTAATGAGAGGACCATGTGATACTTAGCTGGCACTCTTGCAGTAGTGATGTCAGTACTGTAGATCGTCCTAGATAGCAGTCTTTTCTTTGATGTGCAGAATGAAGACTTATGTCTTTGTAAAGAATAATTTGTCACTTTTCTGATACAAAATTCTATATTTAACAAGTTTTATTATCAACTGTTTTGTAGAGCAATGGCAAGCAAAGTTATGATACGGTTATCAGAAAAACTGAAATTTTTGTCTGTGAGTCGATTTCTCCTCGATGACTTTATTAAGGATAACGATGACACATTGTTTGCATGTCTTTTAGAGGTATTATATCTTTTAACATTTTGGAAGCCAAAGTCTCTCGATATTATTTTTGTTTCAAATTCTCTGTGCAGCTAAGAGGACTGACTTATTCCAGCATGTAATTTTTAGCCGAAGAGTGACTTATTCCAACATGTAATTTTTATAAAATTTTCGTTGTAGGATATCAATAAACATGTCGAGAAGGACGATAATGAAGTATTCATCATATTTGACAACTTTACCGTGTTTTGCGATTTTACTAACACTGCCTCACACATTCCTGCATTTATACGACGTCTGCGACAATTCAATAAGAATTTAGAAATCAAATTGGTAAACTAAACTAACTTTGCAGTACTATCAATCGTTAGAATTTTCTCCGTAAAATACGTTTCGTATGTGTTCTTAATTCACACGTCTTCGTTCAGGTGATAACTTTTCAATCGAAAGACGAAATTTCGAATATTATTCTCCATGAAAGTGATATTATTATAAGGATAAAACGTATTGGAAATGGATTTGCCAGAGACGTCACGGGGCAGGTAATGTTATTTGGTGCCCAATTACAATACTCTGTTCCATAAGTGATTAACTTACACTCACCAATTCACATTAGATAGAAGCATGAAAGATTTCATTAGATCTTGTATTTTGTAAAGATATTCTGAACCATAAAGTGACCTTCGTATTAATTGCAATTTTGTAGTTGCACGTAATGGAACGTAGTGGTAAAACGCCGTATTCAGAAAATATTTTCAATTATCATTTGAGCGATCGGTCCGCACGACTTTTTCTTCCCGGAATGTCAAGACCGGAATTATAAGCCCAGCTGCTTCGAATTGAGTTTTAATTGCATTATTTTCTCAGATTATTGCGTACACAGTTATGAGATTTGTAGTATAATTAAATTTCTTCTGGCATCAAGCAGACCAGTTGTACTTTTAAATAAAATAAAATCGAAAAATAAAATAAAGAAGTCTGACCACCTCTTAGATAAAAAAAATATAGCAATCCGCTTCATCGTCCTGACAAATATATTTTTTAGAAGTCACATACATACAAAAGGATGAGTACATCTATATTTAGCATGATTTAAATATATAATAGTATGTTTACACTCAAAAAAGTTTAGTATCACAAGTCTCTTCGTTAAATTGCCATCTCACAAAACTTTTATTAAGAAGCTACTATGTATTAAGATCTAGTTTGAAGGAAGCAAATGATAAATCGAAGAATGAAGAGCAATAAAGCAGGAATTGTCTCTTTTTATGTTTTGATGTCTTTAGAAAGACAATAACAACGAAAACAATCCGATAACATGACTAAAATAATAGGAATCAGCCCATACTGAGAGTGTATGTCTCCAGGAATACCCCGTTTCTGCTGTGCTATCATCAAATGCCATTCCAAGATATACCAAATGTGTAAGAGCTAGAGCTCGAAACACGACATTGATGGCTAGCGTACTTAATGCATTCTGAAACTACAAACTGAATGTACAGGTGCATGCATCCATGTGGCTCTGGCATTTTGTAATACTTTTGGTTTTTGTTTTAATTGTTTATAAACTACTTGGAAAAATAAATGATCTAACACCTCTTTATATGTATGATGACACTCTTTGTGACATTTCCTTGCACGAACACATGAATTTATGCAACGACTCAATTTACTCCTCATTTCTGCAAGTTAATGTCATTAAATCTACATAGAAATCTGTGATCAAAAATGTTTTAAAAAACTAAACCAACTTGTCTCAGCGTATGTGTAAAATCCCAGTGAAAGTAGCACCGCAGACAACTGAAAGTTGATGCCCTAAAATCAAAGATTGCACTTCAAAATAGGAGATTTGTGCGACAATCCAATTTTTGTGCAGAACATTTGCAGGGATTTATACAAAGAGGACATCACGGATTAAACTTATTTAAACTCAAATTCATTCCACAAACTGAAATGAAACTTACATGAAAAAGAGAGCTAACAGCGTAGGTAGTGAAAATTGCGGCTGCGGAGCCATATTTTTTAGTCTCCCCAAATATATCTGTAAGAGTTGATGATTTCATTCAATTCAGAAATTGAAAATAAACTTGAGAATAATGAAATAAAAGTTTTGCTTACATTGATGCAAAAATCGGTGCATGGGTATATTCCATGAGACAACAACATCCACTAGTGAACGAGGCAGTTCGATATGAATCCAATCGGCAACAATGCCAGAATCAATACCGGACAATAAGGAAGTACCTGCGGAGAACCAGCTTACAAAATAATGACTGAATCGAAATGACTGAGCAACAAAATATGCTCCAACGAAAGGCAACTCGACAAAACTATCGGCAATGCACGACGAATGAATAACAGCCAATAATGATAGAGCAATGTAACTGAGAGCACGAAAACAATTAATAATTTCTACCTAAAATTATCTCTGCTAATAATCGATTATTTTTCTAAGTTTTCAAAAACAATAATCTCAGAATTTCCATCCTCTTCTTTCGAATAAATAAGTACCAGACTTACTTTGAATTTCTTTAGGTATAACGAGTCTTGATACTGTTTGTAAGTAATCCATGGACCAAATAATATAGTTGAACTATCAAACATATAGGAAAGTAGTTGTAACAACGTGATGCTGCCATTAAATTCATTAGAAGAATCAAATGACAATGAAGTAATTTTCATTACAATAATCATCAGTATACCACGCATAGACATAAATTCTTTGGCTGTGAAGAAATACTGCCTGTAAAATTAGTCACAATCACATAAGAATATTACTAAGCGGATGAATAAAAGAAAATGAAACTCTCATACGTTTCAGATTTCAAGCATTCACAAAATACAAATCATTACATATATACAAATGATACTCACCAAACTAGAAGCATACTGATCGAATACGCTAATAGCACAAACTTAGTCTGGCTATTGAAGAGGAATTTATAATAAGGTAATACAACAGTTAGAGCAATGTATGTACAAATTGATAACAAATTATTTTGGGTTCCTATTATAAACAATCCAGAAGTTACGAAGGTTACATGTAACGTGAATTCATTTAATATTCCTGAAATAGCTTTTAATTAGCTAAAGGATGAAATAATGAAAGAAACTAATAAACTACAATCAGTAGTGTCCACGGAATCGAAAAAAATCAAAAAGGAAATGATAAAAAAGAAAAATAGCTGAAATAATAGTGAATTAAATAATTTGACACTAACCTCAAATTTAAGCATAATTCAAACTATGCTTAAATTAGTGTCAAATTCATTTAATAAGGGGCATTAGATTTGAAGCAAATGTTTACCTTTTGCATATAAAAATACGAGAAACCGCTTCAGAGCAGAAAAGAGCAACAGTTTCAGTATGGTGCCACGCAAAGAACCAAGCACACCTATTGGACACTGCTGCCATTCATGAGTTGCCTCTTCCTTAATATACATAAGGTCGATAGATTCCTCATCGGATAATTCCACAATTTCATCGTAGAACCATTTTTCTTCGTCAAACATTGCTGCAACTATATTTAGTTGCAGTATTTAACAGTACTTGGTTTGCAAAACAGTATTTGGTTGCCACTTTTGAAGAAATAAATTATCCTTAAAAAGGTGTAGGCATCTTACAGTGCCTCTCTGTGAACCTCTCCACCAAAGATGACTTACTGCAATTCAAAGTAGTTATATAATTCTGTTAATGTAACATAGTGAGCAATGAGCATAACGTCTTAGTAAGTTCTCTTAAACTTGGTAAGTTATTACACATTTAAAGTGAAGAATTTAAAATTTAAAATGACCAAGTCATATCTAAAATTGATCGATTTAAATTCACAGCAAAATTAGTTCAAATTTAAGAACGATTCTTGCTCGTAGTTTCTCATTTTTGACATCCAAATATCTCTAAAATGTGATTTCGTAATAATATATTGAGTTTGCATGCATTAACTTGCTCAATGCAAGAATACGCGTGATTGGCGAGTCATCGTTTCAATATTATATTAACATATGAGAAATCGGAAAAGATGATATTGGGGTGCAGATGCGGAATTAATTCGAATAAATACTTCTGGTCGGTAGGTAATAGAATACAAAGAGATAAATTAATGATCCTGGATTTTAGATGCCTTGTAGTTAAAGCCAGTGCCACCGACTAAGGAAAGAGTGTGAAGTCATGGCCATCACCGGCTATAAGCTGAGATTGAGAGGTTCGTAGTAGAGAATATTTCGTTCAATGATTAACTTGCAGAGGATTAAATGATACAACAATGACATCAGAGATAGCGCCTACGTGTTTAGCAACAGCGGCAGATATTGCTTGCATAGATCCCCTGATTGGCAATGATCTGTGTCCTCTTCTTCGGGTACAATTAATTTTCTTTCTTTCTTTTTTTTTAAGCCGTTCCTTACCCCTCTTTGATGGATGCTTTTTGTCTAAAAATATATATATATATATATATAGCTTTTTATTATTTGCATAAATTTTTTGGCAATTCGCAACAGCGATGAGCAAAGCTCGTTTCGATGATGCTCGAGGATTGATTGAATCATTTCGAGGAACGAGGGTCCCAATATCAGCTAGTGCCGAAGATTCTCTTTGCCATTTACTCCTTTCCGCGTGCATTCAGGTTGTTTCATTAAACTTTTCGTAACGATCAAGAGCCATGGAAAGGGAGCGTTTGTCGCATCTGAAAGTTTTGTGTTTTAGATAGTAAAAGCGGAGAGCGCATACTATTCTCTGAATTTTATGATACCAAAAGCCTTTTTTCGACGAGAAAGCACTCTGCTGTTAACTTATACACAGATCAAGTAATCTTTTCACTTTTTCGCCTGTAAGGTTGTTTTTTTCTCAATTTGAACATGGATGAGCAAACTTTTTTGAGTAGAAGGTTTGAAGTTTAATATGATTAAATAAATGCCTTGATATCATTGTTTAGCAAAATCGTGAGGGTTCAGGAATATCTTATGACTTTTACTGTCTTTGGACTGGTTAGTTTTAATTGCTTTAAATTCATATCTCGATAATATTATTGGGTTTTTTTTTTTTGAAATCCTTAAAATTTTATTATGATTCATAATTATAATTCAATTCAGAACGGAACTATGTCGTATGGATGATGTCATCGAAAATACTAAGATTTCAGCAGCAGAGGATATCAGACGACGTCTGATTGACTTTACCAGTGCTAGAGTTTCAATGATCAATGTTTACAATTCATTTCTAGTTGAAAGTAGTGTTTTTTCGGACTTGTTATTTTCTCATTTTATTAGAAACACAATAACAAATTTAATTTTTTATTTGCGATGCTTACATTTTATATTATTGAATAATGTATTTATTAAAATCATTCAGATTTTGGTCTTCCAAGTGAACTGATAGCTCTGACGACAATTCTTTCATCAATCGAACATTTACTAACACTTTTAATTAATCATGAATCACTTAATTCCTTATTCACTTTTGTTGCTAATGAAATAGTGGCAATGAAGTTACTTTTGGAGGTACAATTAGCTCTAATACGATGCGAGGTTCTGTTTTTGTTATTTCGTAAACTTCTTAACCATTTTAATTAAAATGAAACTTTAGCTCCAGATGGATCTCTAGATTTTTGCGAATAGGCATTTCTTTATGCAAATTTAACATTTGACTATTCAGAATTGTTGGTCTCTGTATTTCAGTTTATGCAATCATTGATTAAATTGAAGAGCGCGCATACCAAACTTCAGTCGTGGTTCAATTCCATCGGTTATAAACGTACGCAAACTAAAGCAACAGTCAAGTTCTTCGGCTTCGGTAACAATATACAATTAAAACTGCATTGTTAATTTTTTCGTTCAAATTCTATTTTGAAGTTACAAAAAAATTGCTTCTTAGTATCGCTTTTTGTTAAGGTTTAAAATTGTGGTTTCAGGACCTCAGGTTCAATGTTCTCCTTTGAGACTATGCAGCTGGACTTATGAGTTTTACATGTTATTATTGGCGAAGTTCTCTCTATATTTTCATGATTCACTACAGCCACAGTGCTCAACAGGCGACTTTGATCATGCAATTGCTTCTATGAAATCACCCAATTTTGTTCAAATATTCACTACATTTCAACGCAGGATGGAGCCCTTATTTATTCTTTTAATTGCTAATCGTTGCAATGCTCCAGATATATCATCTAGTTTGTTTTACTCGCTATTAGTTTCCCATTTATTTTTCACTGTTTTAATCGGTTTTTTTCCATTTCTTTTAATTCTATTTTTCTGCGAATAAATAATTTTTGAAATAACAACATTCGAAAATTTTGGAGGAAACACTTCGACCGTAAACTTAATAAACTTAAATAAATTTGCCGTTATCCAGACTTAAAAATTTTCTTTCCTTTGTAGCTGTATCTGATATCTCTTTCTTTTTTACAATATTCCAAATGTCTTTCACGCAATGTTTTTGCTTCACTTTTTCCTTCATTTTGTATTTAAAAATAAAAAGTTCCAAAATTGTATTTTCAGTTATTGGTTACAGCTGTGCTGGAGATCCTGATGATGGGGAAGGTGAATTGCGAAAAAAATTTTTAATCTTTTTAAAAATAGGTGGTGAAACGAAGGAAGTGAATGTACTGCTTCCATCAATTTCCATACTTATACAAGAAGCAGGTGCTAAAAAGTCTGGCACAGATCGTATTACATACTGCTATGATCAACTTATGTCAAAAGTATGACTTTTTATTTTCCGTGTCGAATACTGATGAACAAAAATAGAAATGTGCACAAGTTTTCTAAATGCCAAATCAATTTAAATTTTAGCGAGAATTTTTACCGGTTTTTCTCAGTGATATCGGGTAAATTGAGTGTGCAATAATAGCGTTAGACATATAGAGCTAGTTGTAATGATGCAATTTTAATTTACTGCTCTCATAGATAGGCAAACATGGATGGTTCTTTAAGAAAACACAAAAGTGCTGTTCAGCTATTTGTATTTTCAAGCTGTTAACTTACTAAGATTGCATTTGTTATGATATTTTTTTTATCTCAGAGTTTCTTCGTATTACCGGTGGAATATAATTTATACATAACGATTATTTTTGATCGAAGAGTAAGCGAACGTAATAACACGGTGGTTAGCTTTCTGCTGAACAGTTGCAGTCAGTTGCGATGTGCTAAAATCTGTCAAAGTTGGCGAAAATTTTCAACGTAGTTTATTCTGATGAAAAATTTTGTTGGTTTATATCATGCTTATTAAACTATATATAAGTTTGTTACTTATATTTTATAGTTTTCTATAACTTTATGTAGAAACTACATCACAAACGGGTCACTCTTCCTCTTATATGTTTAAGCAAATATGAGTGCTTCTCTGAGACCTTGTTGGCATACATTTCAATATTTTGGAGTAAAACTCTCCTCTTCGGAGCCGAATTTTTGAAAATTTTTGAATTTTTGAAAAAAATTCAACTATTAATGTCTTATTTTTGCTCAGAAATTATTCCACTTTATTTAAAGCACAAATAATTTTTGTTTTATCCAATAATACATGTATAAATAGGTTAACGATGTCGACTTAACAAAGATGAAACGCGTAAATCTCAAGGACTGAAATCACTTACTACTGTCTTGCCTTTACCAAACTTTAATCCATCAACTCATTTAATCTAAAGCTTAAGCCTTGAAGTTCTCAGAAAAACGAACTGTGTTTTATATTAGTTTAACGACTTTTTTTATTTCTCACTT